CAACATTATAACATAGTTCAGAAAATAGCGTATTGTTGGCTCTTTAAAGATGCACAACATAACTCTTCAGGTGAAGAGTCTGCCAGCTGCTTGCTTGTCTCAATGGAGATACTATGTCTTTGCTTGGAATCTTTCACAGTATGATATTTACTTTCATTTAAGTATAAATGCCAATTCACCAATAATACAATACACAAGTGAATGGAGAATGACCAGACCCTCATTTGTCTTAGGGCAACCTCCATATAAATTGCACATATAAGACTGTAATAAAACAGTACAAAAACACATTAAACTGATCTATGTCCATGGAGAGTTACATGTCAGCTCTGTGGAAAGACTACACCACTCATTGTAGAAATGCATGCTTTTGAAAGTATTTTTGAGCAATATAAACACCTGTAATCACTTATGCAAAATAAGTTTAATGCCATACTGTGGGACATTCCAGGCAAATAAATAATTACAGATCTTCATGGAACCAAGCAGGTGACAGACCCTCCACCAGAAAACTTACACAGTGCACCTTTAAAGTATTATAGACTATAGATGTAATGCACTAATCATTGAGGGTTAGATGACGTCAGCCTCACTTGTGAAATTGCATACCATTGGTCTAGACTGTTACACCACACACTTCAGTTTCCTCTTTTCTGACATAAACAAAATCGATCATAAGGATATTAAGACATGCATGTGAGAGAGTCTTGCACAATTATTTTTAGTAAGATGTTGTGGCTTTGCTGTAAGAAAGTACTTGCAAAACAAATATATTTCTTAAGAGTTTCTGTTTTTTCTAATCTTGAACAACAAATTTATCTAAACTAAGATCACTGGTTAAGGATAACAATAACAATGCATAATGTTTTCTAAGTAAAACTACTTTTCCCAGATACTGAAGGCCTTGCAGCAGTGTAACAGTGGGTTGCCTCTAACTCCAGTGGGTGTATTGTTTTGCTCTAAAGTCCTTGTTTGTGCCTCCTGTTTAACGACCATTTATTCACTAATTACCACAGCATTAGGTCAAGATGTCACTTCAGTAACTTTTCATGAAAACTACAGAAATGCTTTAATTGGACATGTTTTACCCTAAATATATTGTGTATTATTATTATTATTATTATGCAAGTTTTTTTCAGTGTTTCAGGTCTTCAAATTGGCCAGATTTTAAAATGTGCTGTGTAACATTTCTGGTGGAAAGTTCACTATGGAGACACCACCAGGCCAAGTTACAGGTCAGATCTGTGGAGAGGCAAGCCTGCTCACAGTAATGCAAGTTTAGAAAAGATTTTAAAACCACCTGTAATAAATAAATGCAACATAGATACTGTCTCCGCAGAATCAGGCAGGGATCCAACACACACACAAAAAGTTACACAGTGTACAATTATTTCAGATTTGTTTTTAGTTCAATTTGTTTTGAAATATTTAAAGAACAGTATAGTGCGTCTGTTTACAATACAACTAAACCATTCATGTTCACTGCAGAAAACCATAGGTGGTCCTTTCACTAAAACACATTGAATAAGTTTCTGTGTACTTCTTTTTCCTCTTCCACTTGAACAGCCTTTGACATCTCCATCCGTCTGTGTCAGCATTATATTGTTACCAAACACTTGAGCATCCCTAAGCCTTCAGTAAAGAGGCTCGAACACATGGCACATTCCACTGCTCTGCACCAGCAACCACTATGACGTATGTGTGAAGACAAGCGGACTAAAGAAGTGACCAAGCACACTACATGTGGACAGAGGGAGGGCGAGGGGAAGGGCAGAGGGGAGAGAAAGATCTGAGTGAGAGAGAAAGAGAGGCAAAGGGAGAAAGAGAGAGAGTGAGAGAAGTAATAAGGGAGAGAGAGAGAGAGAGAGAAAGACACGAATCAAGAAGGAAGGATACAGAGAAAAAGCAGGGATAGAGCGAGACAATTGAGAGACAGAGAGAGAAAGAGATAGAAAGAAAGATAGAGAGAGAGACAGAAGGCGAAAGAGCGAGAGAGTGAGAGAGAGAGTAGAGAGAAAGGAAGAAAGAGGGGAGAGAGGCAGTAATGGGGTAGAAAGAAAGCGAGAAAAAGAGAGAGAGAAATGGAGAGGCAGTGAGATAATTGGAGAGAGAGAGATGGAGAGGAAGAAAGAGAAAGAAAGAGAGAGAGAGAGATGGAGAGGTAGTGAGATAATTAGAGAAAGAGAGAAGCAAGAAGGAAGGCTACAGAAAAAAAGTAGAGACAAAGAGAGAAGAGAGAGAGAGGAGAGAGGGGAGAGAGGCAGTTATGGAATAGAAAGAAAGCGAGAAAAAGAGAGAGAGATGGAGAGGAAGAGAGAGAGAGAGACAGAGACAGACAGGGGAAAGTGAAAGAATGAGTGGGTGAGAGAGTGACCACATTGACCTGCATTGGGTCAGCTGGCGTCCTAGTATGAAAGGAGCGTGATCGACCCCCGCTCCACAGAATCAGAGCGACCGGTGGGACAAAGCCTCTCCCTGGGAATCCTCCGGCCTCAGCTCTGGTCTGAAGGAGCTGAAAGAAAGCATTTGTGTGAGGAATTCAGGGTCATACGTTTCTCTGCACATTCCACACGATCCTTCCGACAATCAAAACTATGTCAAAGCCAACAACAAGACCCATTCTCGACACCTCACATGTGAAATCGCCCGAAGTCATCGCAAACCACATTTTAAACAAACTTCAGTTGATAATTTGAACTTTGGAACCATTTTCCCATCAATGCTTGCGGTCCATAAAGAATGCTCCTATAGGCTGGAAGATAATTATTTATTATAATATAAGATAACAAGGCTAAAAAGTGAAAAGTCATATAATATAAATTCTCTTGTGAGATTTAAGCCATGTTATAATGATGGTACCTCACTAAAAACACCCCTGTAATTGTGTTTCCTTTTGTTCGCACATGTTTGGGTCATCCTGCATTATTAATCTGTCTACATCTCCAAAGCTCAAAATGCTATGTTCCACCTTGTGATGTCATGAAGTGGTAGTTTTCAAAGCTACCTTTTACCTTTTGTTTAGTCGAGATTGGCAATTTCAGGACTTTAATGCTCCAAATGATTTTAGTGAAGATGTATGGAGTATAAAAACACAGTGGAGCACTTCCTATTAGCATATGACATCACAAGGTGGAACAGAGTGTGTTCTCTTTGAGAAAAGAACTGAATATGCAGGGCTTGTGTGTGAAACCTGTGTTTTTGATGAAGAAACAACATTATAACATTAGAAAACAGTGTGATATGTGCCCTTTAAAATTTTGTTCTAAAATTACACTAAAACCATTACAAACCACATTGTAAAAACCAACATTTTGTTGATAACTTAATAAAATGATAAAATGTTAACTTTGCAACAATTTTCCCATCAACAATTGTGGTCTGAAAATAAAACAATCAAATATCAAATTATAGCCATAAGTCAAATTTTTGTTTACCACATCTCAAAACCTATTGGTCAATAGCTTGAACATTTCCAACCACTTTCTCATTAATGCTTGTGGCTTGTAAAGAATGCTCCTTGGCTGGAAACAAAGAATGAAACAGGCCTAATACAAAAGGCCACAAAAGTTTCATTTGTGTTCACAACATTTTCTTAAAACAACCGCAAACCACACTGCAAAAACCTACAGTTGGTTTTAACTGTCAAACCACATTCCCATATATGCATGTAAAAAAAAGCGCTTAATAATAATAATCATAATCATAACCATAAACATAAACATACAGGTAATTTTTTTGATTACCACATTTTTAAACCTTGATTTGTTCTAATCATCTTCAATTCAGTGGTTGGGGTCTGTAAAAAAAAGTTGCTTGGTTGGAAGTTAATAATAATAATAATAATAATAATAATAATAATAATAATAATAATAATAATAATAATAATACATACATACATACATACATACATACATACATACATACATACATACATACATACATACATACATACATACATACATACATGCATACATAATTTCAAAACTTCTCTAAAACCATTTCAAGCGTTTAACTTTGCAATCACTCTTGTGGTCTGTGATGAAACATGCAAGTCATTTTTTTGTTTATCATATTTTTGAATCTAGATGTTTTTTAAGCGTGTCATTTTAACTTTCCAACCACTTGTGGCCAGAAAAAAAAAAAAAGAAAAACTGCAAATGTATGAATAATGATATAATACAAAAAAGTTACATAAGTTAGATTTTTGTTCACAAAATGTTCTTAAAACTATTTTAAACCACACATTATATAAACTCAGATTTGGCTGAAACTTTTATACTTTTAATGTTTAAACTATTTTCCCCTCCATGCTTGTGATCTGTAAAGCTCCTGCTGATACTTTGTAGTGACAATACTCTGGGGGTGCTCTACATGTAGCTCTAATGTGGGATGTTTAGGAGTTACCATGGTGACACAACGCACACATTTTCAGGAGTCGTTGAGCAATACAAGCGTTCATGGCCCTTTTTAGGTGTTAGATTTTTAACTAAAATGGTGAGAGTGACTAACGGAAAAGCTGTTGACTGCTTGTGATGGTAATTGTATTTGTGAAAGACTTGTTTAAGCGCACAAATCATCTCCCCTGCTCCTGCTAAGTCAGTTCTTTACAATCAGATTGTGTTAAAATAAAGCAAACAAAGCAGAGCCTACAGTTAGCATGACATCAGCTACAAAGTATCATTTAGAGTCATATACATAAACACAAAAGTAAGATTATAGTTTACTGCATAACCCTAGATTTGTTGATGATCTTTCAAAATATTACTGTAAAAAGTTTCCCATGGTTAGCTGTAAAGAAAGCTCCTATTAGACTCTAATCATATTCATAGACAAATTCATTCTTGCTCACGAAATTTCCCTTAAACCAAAACGGAAACCACATTACAAAAGACTGGATTTGTTGATATCTTTTCCAATTTTATATTTCCAACCAATTTCCCATCCTCCCTTGTGGTCTGTGAAGAAAGCTCCTATTCCAAAACGAATAACAGGCATAAAAATACAAAAACGCCACATTTGTTTATTTTTATAAACTTGGGTAAAAAATAAGACAAGTCTAAAAACTTACAAAAGGTTGTTTTTTACAGAATCTTCATTTTAATGTTAGCAAATTTAGTTATCAGTCATGCATGCAGTAAAAACAAAACAAAAAGGATTCTGTACATTGGCAAATTAAAATAAATAAATAACTTAAACACAAGTTATGTACAAACTTAGAAAGGCCACTTAAAATGTCCATTAGTCTTATTTACAAACACAGATCCATTTGGTCTCTTTTCACTCTTTGGTGCTTTACGTCTTTGGGCCCAGGTATTATCATTATCATGAGAATTAGGCGCTGCTACAGGTTGCATTCATTTTCTAGATGGAGGACAGGACCAGTGTTACTCTATGGGTGATGGAGGCCTATTTATATAATAATAACAGTAAAAACTAGAACCAGAAAAAAAATCCAGTTTTACTCAATTCTTTGTTTGTAATTGGATCCACAAACTTATCATTTTAATATTGTAGCTGAAATTTTCTATCGTATGCATAAATAACAGGTTTCTAAAGGTACATTGGTCACACTAGCCTTGTATTTTATCATGCAAGTGTAACAACATGTCCATTCAAAAGATATATTTTGTTTTAAATAGTAAATTGCTACAACGACAGATCATTTGAAGCTTTTGGAAGATAAACAAAATTCCACACTGTCTAATATCAGCTTGATTCTAATGGGCAGTGTTTTTGAACAATGTTACAGCTTTTTGACATCATAGTGAAAATAAAATGTCACTTTAGTTGACTTTCTGATAGAGAAGGCCTTAAACTTTGCACCAGTTTTTGTTTCATGCTGATAGGTCCATTAACTAAAGAGATATTAACCATAAACCAGGTCAAAACGTCTACATTTTGACACAGCAAACTCTCCCATAGAATTCAGTCCTGTCCTCCATCTCCATTTCAACTATAGACCCTTTGGAGTGTTATCACATTATATGAACACAACCTATTTCTATTATTGCTCATTACAATTTGCTCTCTTCTTCCTCTAGAGGCAAGTTCAAACCCGGAATAAACTTTAAAAGCCGTCTCCGAAAGCTTTTTGGTTTATTTTTCCTTTGCAGAGAGTTGAACCCTCCTCCTTGCTTTTCAGCTGGGGTTATTGTCGCCGACTGTGGCCTGGTGTAGCTCCTTGTGCTTGCACTACGAGTTAGATGCGTTTTAGCCGTGGTAAAGAGTTCACTAGCTGGACGTAGCTTCCTCTGGATTGACCGCAGTGGTTTTTGTTTGCAATTTTGATTGTTCTGATCAGAGTCCACGCTGCCATCGGGTTGGTAGAGACAGGTTTGGTACAGTGGATCATCGTCAGTCGTGGTGCTGAGGAGGCTGGCACTGCTGCTGGTACTGCCCGTTCCCTTGATGCTCCTCGGAGCGGTCATGGGACTGGGGGTGCCGACACTGCCGTAGATCCCGGCCAGCTCCAGTGACTCGTATATGGCAGCGTCGCTCATCACTATACCTGGAAAACAAAATGATAACGTTTAGTGTTGGTTGTTAACTTTTTTTCTTTACTACTTAATTCCATATATCTTGCTTCATATATTTGATGTCTATTGTATTATCTAAAATGTAGAAAGTAGTAAAAATAAAGAAAAAAAGTATTCAATGATGTGTCCAAACTTTTGACAAACTTTTGTATATATGAATATATATGTATGTATGAAGTAATATTGTGTTATATAGTGTATATGAAGTAATATGCATTTGCAATCGTATCCTGTTTTCATGTAAGACTTTAGTTAATTCTTAGAAACTCACCATGAACAAGCCTCTGCTCCTGCACCATCAGCGACCGATACTCGTCCCATTTCTCATGAAGAGTTTGCTGGAAAAAAAAAAAAAAAAGCAAAACATAAATAAATTTGTGATAGTAACGCATGATGTGAAACTATCAGTAAAAGGTTAGACTGCAGATGTTAGCCAATGGATGAAAGGCCATCTGACAATTTGATGTATGACTTCTCCGAGACACAAAAGAGCAGAGCATGCATAAACATCAGGAAATGATAGTGGAGCTGTTTAATGCATCAATTTGAGAGAAATGTGAACAATGTGTGACCGCATGCTCCAATAATGATCCCATATGTGTCCTTAGACCGAGGAGCTACGCTGTCTGTCCGGCAAAACAAACAAGTAACTCATATATATTTCTTCAAAAAGATTGTGCACAAAAGTTGATCAGTTTTCTATAAGAGCAGATATAATACTGATACGTTGCAGTGTCGTCATACTTGGGGTGTTCTACATATATGTTCGGAATGTTCATCAGTTACTATGGTAACACAATGCACCCATCAGCAAACACAGCCAAAATGTTTGAATTGTTTAAATAAATGCTGTATTTTTTTCTTGAGACAACACATTTTCAGACAGAGCAGTGGCTAATGTTAGCATCACACTCCCTGGGAATGCTGCAAAGTATCAATAATTTAAATGGGGAAGACAGAAAATTTGAAGCATTTGCCAAGGAATTGCTCATTTCTTGCAATGATAAAGAATAGTGCATAATATATAAAAATAAATAGTATATAAACCTTGATATCTTCTAGTACAAAGATGGTGACAAACCAGAATTAATATTTTTTTAAATTATATCTCATTAAGAAAGTTTACACGGTAGGGATCTTTTGCACATCCAGTAGGAATATCCAATGAAGGTTAGGGTGTAAAATCATAGACAGTGTATATAATTGGACATAGTTAACACACTAGCCGCCGCGTTCCAAATAGGAAGTTCACATGCGAGCTCTTCCGGCTCTTTCTGACCCTGGTTCCAATTGACTTACATTGGAATATTGTGGTGCCTTTCTCTGTAACTGCTGCAGAGATCCTTGTCATTTTGGTCTTAAAATGTTCCTATTAACCATAGACTGTATATACATGAGTGGACATAGCTAACGCATTAGCAGCTCCATGCCAAATAGGAAGTTCGCCAGGAAGCTCTTCTGGCTCCTTCTGACCCTGGCTCCAACTGACTTCACATTTGGATCTTATTGCGCCTCTCTGTAACTGCTGCAGTGAGACTTGTCATTTTGGTCTTAAAATGTTCGTATTAACCCACTCTACATGAGCCTGATCTTTTTTTTTTTTCGCTATTTTGTCTGTCAAAAAAATCCTATTCATAATATAGAGATTCGCTCTTGTAGCATCGTGAGCCTCATTTGAGTGGAGCCGAATGCACACGTCACACTCGCTTAGTCCACTTCTTTTACACAGTCTATAATATTAACCAACCCTACATTATTCTGAGTTTTTGGCGCACTATTTTGTCAGTTAAAAAATTCCTAATCATAATATTCATTTGAGTGGAGGCAAATGCTATGGGTGACGTCACACTCGCTTAGTCCACTTTTTTTTTTAATACAGCCATGTTTAAAATACACTAAAATTCATTATGTGCTTAGATTTTCCCTAAAGGTACTTTGGCTATTCATAAGTTTTCTGTTATAAGTTATATTTTGAGGATTTTCTAAAGATAGGCCTATATAATATTTTGTTTTAAATGTTAATTACTTTGGCTACAGTCCTCAGTTTTAATCTTTAGCATGCAAAGTTAGCCAAGTTAGCGATTTAGAGCGAGACAGCTGCTGCCGATCTTGTCAAAACTCATCCACTTAAAGCCACTTGTTTAGGGCAGAATTCACAGCCGACGTCCAAGAATGTTGCTAGCGTCTGTTTTGTGCGGGGCCAAAGGCTGCTAGCCAAACAGGTGCTGCTAAAGGAGGACAGGTGAACAAGCTGTGGGCTAAATCTGACTGCCGACTAACAATGAGCCAGCCACCAGCAGCGGCCTGACAAAGCAAAAACAGAATGAGGAACCACAGAGGGGAACAGAACGCTAGAGTGGACTTAGCAACTGCTGCCATGGTAACCTTAGACGCCATCTTTAGACAGTGTAAAAAAGAATGGGTGATACTGACAAAAATGTATGGTTTTATTTACAATCACCATGATGATATTCAAGGGATAATAGCAAGAAATTAATCAAAATTGTGCTAAAACAGAACGCTAGAGTGAACATAGCAACTGCTGCTATGGCAACTTTAGACACCATCTTTAGACAGTGTAAAAAAAGGTGGGTGATACTGACAAAAATTAATGGTTTTATTTACAATCACCATGATGATACTCAAGGAATAATCGCAAGAAATGTATCAGAAATGTGCTAAAACATGCCCTGAATGTGATTGAAAAGTGAACCACAAGAAGAAATATCACTGTTTTATCCAGTGTTTTGGTGGATTACACTGCAAGTTTTTGGTTCTTATTCTTTGGTTCTGCTCTTTTAACAGTGTGAGAATGTTTTAATTATACAAGATATTTTATGCCTTAAACCTGAAAATAAGGCTTATTCCAGACATATATAGAAATATACCTTACTGTTTATGTACAAATAAACTGCAAGTAAGTAAAGTCAAATTAATCGTTGAAAATATATATCTTAAAATAAACCTACCTTTAGATATTGCAGTCTTGCCTCCAGTTCTGCTTTGCGTATTGAGTCGCTGTAAACCGTTTCTAGTCTGTAAACAAGAAAACGTGACAGAAGATTAACTTTAGATAAAAAAAATACAACTCTAAACAGGAGTCTCTAGAAACCAAATGAAAGAGTCTTTTCAAAAATCTTGCCGTCAGTTTAAATCCATGTTTCACACTTTATAAAAAGGGGAAAAAAAACAGAAGGCCAAGTAACATTTTCCGTTGACTATGATGGTTGTGAATGCTTTGAATCACATGATGTTGACACTATCTTTAATGCTTTTCACACTTAGAGAAGTCGCCAGTGTAATTTGAAGTGTAGGTCTGTAAACTGGCCTGCTGTTTTGGACTGTGTTGTGGTTAACCTCAGTCTTTTTATAGATTTCTTTTAAACGTACAGATGGGGCTTGCTAATAGACTTTTTAATGTTTTACAAGTAAGTTAAAAGAAGAAAGGAAAGAGTGGATTTAATTAGATGCCTACTAAAGAAAAGGGGAAGTTGTCATAACAATGGCAACACAATAAATAACATTATTTTAAACACTATTTTTAGAAAGGAAAGATGCTCCATTGTGTTAATAAAATTCATAAACCTTCACAAAAAAATTAAATAAATAAAAGTTAGCTGTTAACCAACTCCTCCTTCATGAGATCACAAGGTGGAACAGAGCATTATGAGGTTTGGAGATGTAGACAGACATTAATAAAGGGTTAAAATGTGAATGAAACAAAACAAATCCGGGTATATTTTTGAGGAGGTAACGCTATTCTAACAAGACTTAAAGCTCACAAGAGTCAATTTTGCGTAATAAAGGACCTTTAATAAAACATACCTGAGAGAGTTTCCACAGGCCTTGATGAGCTGCACGATCTCTTTATGTCGAAATCCCTCCACTGTGGCCTCATTCACACTGGAGATGGTGTCACCTGAAAAAAAAGGTTCAGTTTTTTTCTTCAGTGCTTTTCTTATTTCATGTGAGAGTCAAAGCATTTAAAATCAGAGGTGCAAGATTCATGGCAATAAAGTATTCACGATTCTTACATCAAAAGTGGAAGTGTCTTGCCCAAAGAGGGACAAAACAGGAATGAATGACAGAAGCAGGCCACATGTTAGACAGAGCAGACTCATATCTCTTTTATAGCTCATAAACCTCATGTGCGACACAAATGTGGAAACGTGGCAGACGCTTTATCCAAGGAGCCACTGAATAAAACCTCCTCAAAGTCAATGTGTGACTCTGTAGTAGCAAAACGAGTTTACACTTGTGGTCTAAAAACTCAATAGAACTGCACAATATGTCACTGTCTAGGGCTGGTCTAGGGCTGGTCTAGGGCTGGTCTAGGGCTGGTCTAGGGCTGGTCTAGGGCTGGTCTAGGGCTGGTCTAGGGCTGGTCTAGGGCTGGTCCAGTCCTGGTCCAGTCCTGGTCCAGTCCTGGTCCAGTCCTGGTCCAGTCCTGGTCCAGTCCTGGTCCAGTCCTGGTCCAGTCCTGGTCCAGTCTGAATTGAGTCTAAGTTGAGTTCGCGTTGAGTCCTGACTCCTGAGCTAGACTTTGTTTGGACCTGGTCTGGGTCCTGGATAGGGGTCCTGATTAGAGGTCCTGGTTTAGTCCTGTTCTAGTCCTAGTTTAGCCCAGGTTTAGTTTGGAGCATTTTAATCTGAATTGTAATTTGCTCTGCGTGCAAATGTTAAACACACCTTAAATCACTGTTATAGCAAAATTAGTTAATGCAACATGACAAGAAATGAACTATATTGTTTCTAATATTATTAATTTTCCCCCTTACAAAGGCTAAAATTATGTTGTTTGGTGATTTAATCTTAATCTTTATTTGGTACTGCTTTAGACTTTTGATGATGCATTTTGTGCATCAAATCATTCACATTACAATTATGGTGTTTCAATTGTATCAAACCTCAAATCTTTTTATATCCACAGCTGAACGCACACATGTTCCTCTTTTCAAACCCTCTGCTTTATCTGACCATAGCGATGAGGTCACTGTGTTGCAGGTTTAGAGGAACAATGGACGAACCGCGACAAGAATGTAGGAAGTGAAACTCAGTGCGACGCAGAAGAAGCAAACTAACGAAGCGGCAAATCTCCTCCTGAGAGCAGCAGGTCACGTGTGAGTGAACGGACAGGAGTTTGAAAACCAACTGATGCTATGCAGTGACATCATGGTCAGTGGTGGGTGTGTGTTAGGGGAGGGGGGAGCTTGGGTGCATGTCTGTAGAGGAATGTTTAGCAGTTACCATGGAGACACAATGCACACATCAGCAAACACGAGCACATAGGTTTTTAGACTGACTGATATTAAATCACAAATTTTCAGGACCAGTGATTAATGCAATCTTTGTGATGAATGTTATATTGTATAGGCCAATAACACAGAAAACAGATGGGGATAGCTATAATCTATGTAATCTGTTATTGTTATGCCTGGAATGTTCCACAGTATGACATTAAACTTATCTCCATCTCCAGACACAAGCAGACGATGCCACCAGGGCACATTACAAGTCAGATCTTTTGAGACACCTGACTCACCGCTCACTGTAAGAATGCTTTGTTTTAAGGTATTTGTTTTAGCAACTGAATTAATGCAAAAGTTACATTTAAGGCCATGCTGTGGAACATTCCAGGCAAAGTAACAATATCTTACAGTTTTTTCCATCCCATCTTCTGAAAATCTTTTTGTCAAGAATTGCTGCATTTTTCTCTGTACATGAACTCTATTTATTGTGGCACTACTGAACAAACCATTTATGTTCTTTGACCATAAATAGTTTCATATCACTTGATACGGGAGGTAATTTAGCTTGTAAAATTGGTACAGTGCTTCGATAAATTGTGTGACTGAACTGGAAAATGAGTCTGTAAACACTGGGAGTTCCTTAAAGTCCTGTCCAAATAAGGAGTACATTTGTTGACGTTTGAGGCGGCAGTTGGCAAACATCAAACTGTCAAAGCATTACTCACACTTACTTCTGTTTTGGGTTTATTTTTAGATGTTCTTTAAATAGACAAAATGACCAATACTCACCAACTTTCAGTCCGGACCGCTGTGCTGGGGAGTCCTCGTGCACTTTACACACAAATGTGCACATCTCCACTGTGTTTTGGTCCTGGTGGTGCAGTCCATAGGTCTGAAACAATATATAAAAGAAAAGTTAGGGTGACCAGTTCAAAAACTAGTAAAACTGACACAAGTTATACATTATAATAATAATCATGAGAATCATGGTCCTGGTTGGGGATATGCATAATGTAAAAAGACTATTTACTGGTTGTAGCTGGTCAATAAAGTCTCATAATGTTTGAAAAATAGAGTGAGGACATTTACAGACAGAGCAGTGGACAGGAGAACGTGTAAATGCGCCGCCGAACTGACAGTTATGCAAATCAGGATGGGCTGTTTAAGTTTAAGTTTAACTGAAGTTTGAGAGAACAACAACATTCAAATTCTTAAGTAGATGATTTGGAACAATATCAAGTTAATTTTTCAGACACACATTGTATTTCAAGAATAGTATAAAGTATTAAAGTAAAGTAAAAAATCTGTTTACAGTGGATATATTAGTAACACCAAGTATAAGAGCTTTGGAGAGGTGTAGGCCAGTCAGATTTACACAAGCCTAAGGAGATGGTAGGCTGCATCTCCCAATTAATTTAACATTATTTCAGTAATTATTTCTTATATTGCTTTTTTAGATTAGTCAATTAGCAATTATTAAATGCTTAGTTGCTGTAGTGAAGCCCTGTTCTGTCAAAGTCACTGCCGCTTCTTAGTTTCAGTTGTTATATTTTTGTGGGAAGGGTCAGAATGAACTTCCCCTTGTCGTGCGACTCTGAGTCAGACGAAAACACCACGACTTCCCCTCACCGAACAGGTTCAAACAGACTAGACTGGTTACTACGGTTACAAGGAACATTTGAGAGTCTTCAAGGGGTGTTCTTGGGAAAGTTGTAAAGATTCAAAGTAGGTCTGGTTATGACAAACTGAAAATAACAGAATGATAAAGGCATTAGAAACACCTATAGGTAACCTAAATGTGTTTAATGTCATACTGTGGATTCACTCAAGCTAAAGCATCTCCCGGGAGACAAGAAGGTGGGGGCCTTTCGCCACAAAGGTTACACATTGCACCTTTAAGAAGTGAGAATTTCCAAGTATCATATACAGCTGAGCATGACATTATTTGATTGAGTCACAATTTTAAAAGATCCAAATATGAAACCTACAAAACCAAATAATTTCATTTTATTTAATAATTATAATAATCAAATGTTTTAATGTTGAAAATGTTAATCTTGTAGTATAAATCTACCCATTCTCAACCTCAGTTTTAATCTATAAACCCCAACAAATTTTTATGACATTTTTTAACACAAACTAGGGCTGCAAGATGAGTCGCAATTTTAATAATTAGCAAATTACAAAGGCTGCATTTTCTAAAGTACTATCACTTCCTCCCCTAACAACAATATATTCCATCTTATTCTGCATAAAAACTTCTAACCCTTGTAGTTAGACCTCTACAAAAATATTCAATTCTTGTATCTTTAAAATATGAACTTGGAGCAGAATCCTATTATAACATAAATCATAAATGTTATCACAATGCTTGTCAAAAAGATCACAATTAGATAGTTTTATCAAATTGCTCAACCCTGACAGAAACTATAAATTTCAAACTTCAAAATCCCATGGCCCCTTCCGTCTTTTGCTCAATGAACTTCCTTCTAGCTACAGTGGACACAGGAAGGGTGGGAGCCTCCAGCGCAGCCATAAATATACCAGCTTCCTTCAATGCCGTGGTTCTGTAGTTCTGTTAGGCATGTCCATGTGATTGGACCACTAAGACAGTTCAAGCAAAACTGCATTGTGAGAAAATTTATGTGTTTTGAAACTATTTTAAGAATGGCATCAACGGCAGCCTTGAGACACAGAGGTGGTATTGTAGATAGTGGCTAGAGGGAGACTTGAGATATGGGAAGATATGGAGGTCAAATGTGCTAAGCTGCTGTCTGCGTGTAAAGCAGGTACTAACTAGTGCATGTGAGCAAACCACATGGACTGAAATAGAGAGGGTCATAAGATGAACAAAATACTGCTACTGACAGTAGAAATGAACAATGAGTCTCTAATTGAATCACTATTTATGTTGGCACAATTATAAAATCACAAAAAATAATAGAATATCCTCTCCAAAGAACCAAAGATATAGTTTTTTAAATCTGGTTTCTGTGATTTAGACATTTACAAATATGTTCTGAAATCTGTGAACATGTGAAGGTGTGAGTTTGTGTCACTCCAAGACTCAACTAAACTCCAGCACTGATTCATGGACTGATTCATGGACAGAACCCGGACAGAACCCGGACAGAACCCGGACAGAACCCGGACAGAACCAGGACAGAACCCGGACAGAACCAGGACAGAACCCGGACAGAACCAGGACAGAACCCGGACTGAAGCAGGGCAGAGATATGTGGAGATTTTTAAGTCACAAATCATATTTCTGATATTTATGGGGACAAATAGGTCAGTTTTCTAGGCAGATTCTGAACATCAATTTGACTAACAATTCTTAACCCTTGCACTAATACCTAATTTAAGTTCAGTAAAAATGCATGTTTACTCATGTGAATAGTGCTAATAATAAATGACCACAAAGTAAACAATCATGAGTTTGAATGACAGCTAAGAAATTACACATTTGGTTAAGATTTTCAAGTATGAGAAAGGTTATCCATCATCTTTGCTCACATTAGCCAAGGTTGTATATTATTGTGGAGTCTATTCCTGGTTTGGTCCTGCTTTAGACCCAGTTTTGAACCAGTTTAGTCATGGTTTATCCATTAACATTTTTTTTATTCTTCTTACTAATACTCGATTATTCATTCACTATTAAGAAGAATGGTTATTTAATCCTTCACATTCCTACATAAGTCATCGGCACGTGTCGAGGAGTGCATATTTCCTGTGACCCTGCGTTGGGATTGTCAGTAGACCCATTACAGGATTATAGTCAGATTACGACAACGCTGACAGTGAAGAGGCTGATCCAGTTAAATGAACCAGGGAGGAGCAGACAGAGGCAGAGTTTAATCTCACCTGGATCTCAAAACCAAACGTCTCTTCATCACTCTTCTCTAGCTCCACTACTTTTCTGTAAAAAACAAAACAAAACATCAACATAAGATCAAAAACACTTTTGAAAGGTGCTAGTTGATCCATTATGCTGCACTATGTAACTTTTCTGGTTGGGGGTCGGTGTCCATGGAGAAGTTATTGCTTAGTCTTGATTGTTGTGAAGGCAATCAGGCCAAGTGTACAGGGGTCTCACAGTAATAGCAATAGCAATAAATGTAAGATGAATACGTTTAATGCCATTACAGAAAGATTACATCTCCATTTTGGAAAAAAAACCCAAAACATTCAGGTCTAATGCAAAAAGACAATGGTTATTATGCAATTTTGTGAATGTCTCTAGATGCTGAAAAGAAAGTTCAGATTTTGGAGACAGATATTTTACTATTTTTAAATAATGAAATAATTAAAAGCCTGCCTTGTTTTGATGTTCAGGATTTTTTTTTTTTTTTTACTGAGAATCACAAATGTCAAGATTACTGGAGACATTGAAGCGTACTGTGCATTGCTTGGCTCATCTTATCTAAATTGCATAAGTAGAGACAGTGTGGCTGGACAGGACTTCCTCTATGTCCAAATGTCTATGGACGTCACAGCACTTCTAATGCTGACAGACAGAAGGACGTCACAGAGTAATCTAATATGTACAGACCACAACTCATGAAAATGTATGAGGGGATAAGGACTCCTTTTGTATAGTTGGTCGTTTTCAGATGGGGGCAATAGCCAGAATTGCTAGTTGGTTCAGTCCTGGTTAAGTCCTGTTTGGGTCCTGGTTGAATTTTTGTTCAGTCCTGGTTGAATTTTTGTTGGGTCCTTTGTCAGTCCTTGCTCAGTCGTGGTTGGGTCCTTGCTCAGTCCTGGCACATTCCTAGTTTAGTCCTAGTATACACTCCTGGTACTGTAATTAGATTTATTTAGATTTATCTTAATCCTAGGTTTAGTCCTGCTATAATCCAAATTTAGAGTTACTCAAATCCTACTTTAAACCTGTTTTAGCCTTTATAAAATTCCAACTTCATTATCATCATGTAATTTCTTGTTTGTTTATGCCTAGGTTAGTCCTAAAGCAATATACTCAAGATCTTGTGAAAGGCAAAAATGTAAATATTTTGGTAACAGATAAATAAAGCTGATTATTCACAATAGATTTTCCATGTTGTACCTTTGTGGTTCGGGGGTCTGCGTGAGAGGCTTCCACTTCTGCAGTCCTCCATTCTGCCAAAACAAAATCACATGACGTCAAAATTGGCACAGACCTACGAGAACATTCATTACCACACAAAACTTCAGGCTTTCCCCAACTCACTTCCTGGAAACGCCTCCTCTAAACTTGACGTCAACTGGTCTGTCAAGTCTAGAACCTGCACACGTGTCTATGTGTTTTGTGTTTGGGTAAAAACACTGCATTGAAACCTGAATTGCGTGCCAGTCAGGTAAACTTATTTACTCTAATCACAGTGTAATAGCAATCTAATTTTAGCCCTATTAGTGAGCTAAATTAGTCACATTTTAACAGCGCAATTTCATAGTGATTACAAACCATGACGTAAAGCAAAAACAAATCGTAGGTTCGCAAATTTTTGTTTTATCAAGAAACCTATATTAATCTAGCTGGATTTAAAAATAACTTTTGTATGGTTTATATTTTGACATATATTTTGGACTTCTAGGGCTATCAATTCATGGGTGCATTCTGGTCTAGGTGCTCTTATACTTGTTCTGTTACAGCTCAAGATGATTCTAAAGCATTCAGAAAAGATTCATTTCTGTCCTGTGAATGTGACCTTAGTATTTGCTCAAATTACTATCTAGTTTCGATAGTCTTCATCTGATTTTCGATACTTTAACACCACCAGTTACTAGTGAAGTCATAGTAATTATTGTAAATCCAAAATCAACTCGTGGACTGCCGTTCTTAACCTCCTTCACCAACATGAAAACAAGTCTAATTTTACCTTGGACTAAAAGTGGCTCAGACGTGTTAACTGTTGACCTATTGGGTTTTGGTAGCACTTTACAGCAATTTGCGCTAATTCCAGCTCCCTTAAGAAAACATAGACCTACATGTAAACATTGGGCCCCGTGCTACAATAAATCCAGTGAGGAAAACCCAAGTCAACACAGGGCCACTACCTGTGTCAACAAAAAAGGTATCTGTCCCAAAAACGCCACTAAATCACTTACAATCAAGCCACTCAAACTCTGCTTTTCTGTAGCCCAAGTAAAAGACTGCTTTGTGCTAGTGGCCCTGGTAGTAAAATGTTGCTTTCTTTAAGTTCCAACACTTACAGAATTGTCCCAGTGCAGCCTCAATGGGGGCATTTATTCACCAAATACCCACACAAGGCAACAGTAGAGTCCAAGCTGGAGGTCCTGTTTCTGGACTGTGTATTGGCTAAAGCACTGTGTGGTTATTATGTTGGAAAATAAGAGCTGTAAACATCTAATTAAATACTGGGGTCCAAAATGTTCCGATTACATTTTGGTCCAGGTCTAGTCCAGGTCTAGTCCAGGTCTAGTCCAGGTCTAGTCCAGGTCTAGTCCAGGTCTAGTCCAGGTCTAGTCCAGGTCTAGTCCAGGTCTAGTCCAGGTCTAGTCCAGGATTTGTCCACTTTTAGTCCAGTAAGTTAGTCGAGTAAATTGACCCATATGTTATGATTCTAGTTAAGTTTAAACTTGGCAGTTTTTTCATGGTTTAGTCCTATTTAGAGTTGGTTCAGCCCAAGATTAGACCTGGTTTAGTAATTTAGTTTCTGTTTAGTCAGTGTAAATACAAAAAAATAACTTTGACATTAAAAGGAAAAAGACAATCACAAAGTTTTGGTCCAATAAATATTCTGTTCAACAGTTATGTTCTTTATTCCACGATGGCATCCCAGTAGTTGCAGCATTCCAGCCTCTTGTGCAGATTTTACAGTTTAGTTACGGGCAGACCATGGCCTATCTAACAGTGGAGTGTGAATTTTCCCCATCCCGTTTAAACTGACTTTGAGCTAAAATGTCACTTTTGGCACATGAACACCAAAACAAGCGGAGATTGAACCAAAACAGAGGCAGAATCCAAAGCCCTCTGCTAATATTCCCCCAGTGAACGATGTATATGTAACTTGGACATTCTTCCACAGAGACCTAACTAATTTCTATAGTTCTCCAGCAGTGAAAATATCATGAGGAAATTTGAGACACTAGGACTTACTGATACTTGATAGAGGCCTTAATGGAACTAGTCGACATAAAATGCAAAACTATTTCTCAAACGCTGAAAAATCCTGATGCAAATTTCCCATTTCATCCATGACAGCAAACATAACATAGAAGGCCAATATTTTTACTTAATATAAAAATAAAATATCAACCACAGTTTTTTGCACCTTCTATCATTCATATTTAACAATACCAAAGGAAGACATGTAGCTTGGTATATGCAGTTTTCTCATTATAACACCAAAATGTATAGAGGGGTCAGTTTGGTGTGAGACCTGAGCAGTAACGCTTTGAGAGCCTGGGTGGTCCAAAGCCATAGATCACATATTAATGACCTGCTCAACACTAACACACATGTGGACTGGCACTGTACACAACAGGGAAAATAAAAGTTGTATTGTTCATGTAGGAGGCAAGGAACAACTCTACCCACATTATGATAAGTACCCCAGTAAAACCTATGGTAACTTTGGGTTTTCAAAACATTTTGACTCATGTGACTAACTTGAATTTCAGCAAAGTTGTACTGCCTGCTTTAACTGCAAGTATACAAAAAATAGACTACCTTTTTGTTCATACTTGGGCATCAACATGACTGAAAGACACTGAATACTGATATCTAAAACTTGTATGTATGTATTTGCAAAAAAGAAGCATATTAGTTTATCTTTATGCCCTTCCTGAGGCAGCCTTTTCAGTTTATGGACGGTTGGAACCGACACAAATATAGTTTTATTTACTATAATTTCTTGGATTGCACTGGTGCTGTATTGGAAAAAAAAAGAAAATTGTCTTAACATCAAAACTGTCATTAATATAAACAAAAAAATGAAGAACAAATCATGAAACTATAAGCCTACTTACTCTTATTTCTACAACATAAAAGTATCAGTGGTTTGAAAACATTTCCCTTGAGACATTACTGAAATAATCAGTATTTTTGAAAGTCTATTATTTTACATCACTCATCACAAGTTAAAACAGTTAAATAGAGAAAATTGTTTCCAAATTTCAATACAGAGAGAGGCATACTGGATAATCAGTCACATGTAATTTCCCTTGTGGATCAATAAAGTTTGTTTAATTCCAAGTCTCATCGCATTTTGTCAACTGTCATGAAACCCAGTAAAGCTCAAAAACGCGGTAAGAACTGCACAACAGCTGCGAAGTCCACGCTTGTCTTTTTGAATGAGACGTTTAGGTTCCCATAGGACAACGACACCTGACAATGCCCCAGCTGTCGCCTTTCTTACCCCCCTCTCACCCAAAAACTACTTTAATTCACAACTTTCTGAACAAAATTTAATTCCACTCACCTTTTTGAAATTCCTCGGTAGTGTCCCGCCTGAATACGCCAGAGTTTTGTAATTGTACACGTCCGATGGTTTTGTGTGCAAGTCCATTGAAGTTCTGCAACTATCGGATTTTGACGATGGGAAATAAATGTCGTTTTCTTGAGAATTTCCTCCGCTATCGGGTCCGCTGGAGTTCACTTTCTTCAACCTCCTGAACGTCATCTTGGCTTCATGTACGTGCGTAAAGGTGCGCGTAAAATAGATAAAAACCGTGACTGTTGGCTCCTGGTAAGTTTGTTTGAACCTCCGCGGATGGTCTGTGAGTTGTGCGTCTTCAGCGTGGAGTGAACGGCAAGGTTTTTCTGAATAAGCTGTGGGCGGAGGCTTTGTTTTGATTGACAGATCGGAGAGCCAATCAGAGAAAGGGACGTGCCTAAACAAGTGCGCGCGTACACAGAGTGAAACCGATTACTCATCTATTAAAATTTATTTATATATTATTACTGTGACACACTCTGAAAATTACCTAACAAAAACAAAAATTAAGATCTATAAAAAGATTATGAATAATGGACAAGTATTACGTTAGACCTCCATATGTTTACCACATCAATTTAGTAACTCAATTTCTTCCTTTAGTTTTATATTAAAAGCACAATCATTTTTATTGTAGTATTTTTGCTTTTTTCTTCTTTATTTATTTGTATGCCCCCATCACGTTTTCTAATAGTACATGCTATTCTTAATAGTTTAGACCTAGATTAGATGTCATAAGGAAATAAGTGATGGAGTTATGAGACATTTTGGTACAAAAATGTTGATCCTTATTTTGTTTAATTATTATTCTTATTTTTTTAAACCAATTTTTAACCTTTTTTATTTACTTTGTAAGCCTCAACCACAATTAATAAAAGAGCATGTGATATGTACTGCTACTGATGACATGAACGTCTGATCACTGTGAACACTGTTTATACTACTATAAATATTGTAAAATAAACTTGTACAGGATTGTCCTTGGGTATTTGGGCCTCTTCTTTTATTGATTTATTGATTGATTTATTCAATGTGGTTACATTAACATTCTACAGTTTGTTGTTATAATCTCAGATGATGAAGAAATCCTAAAACACTGAACCTTATCATTATTTGTAGAAATTGGTTAGACAAACATATCTTTTGAAATTTGTGGCTTTTAGTTCTTTCAGCTGACAACAATTAAGCCTTTGGAGCTATTTGGAGCTTCTGAAGCCATTGTGAAAGAATTATTTCACTTTTGTTTATTTACACTGACAGAGAAGATACTGACATGTGCGTCAGTTTTTGTTTCATGTGGATAGGCCCCAGTAATTAGAGAGACATTAACCATAAACCAGGTCAACAAATCTGCAATCTGAGTTAAACAGCAAAGTCCATCACAGAATTGTAACCTGTCGTCGGCTCAGTTTATACTACAGGAATACAATGTTCTGACATCACACTGGAATCCACCTTGCTTTCCTGGTGCCCTCTATCTTTCATAAAAATGTTACGGTCCTGTAATATTAAGTAATGATTGACTCCCACACACATCACAATATGTTATTGCTGTTATTTATTTGATGTAATGCTGTAGTTTCATTATTACTTACATGAACTTTCAAGTACCACCATACCACAGTTATAGTCCACTAGAGAGATACACAGCGCCCCCTGGTGTTTCAAAACCATCGAACATTATTTTAAACACAGCATCCTGAAATAAATGGACCAAACACTTTTAAGTTTTTAATGCTCTTATTTACCAGGCAATATACTATAACATTCCCTACTTATTAAATTACATTACATTTAAATTAACACTATATATTAAATTGGTCTCAACTATTTAGTTAAGAATCGAAATCCTAAAAAGTAAAAGTGGTGTCAGCTTCTGAAAATCTTAAAATACAGCAGTCCTTCTGAGCGCACTAGGGATGTCAAGATTTACATATTGGTTTTATAAATTCTTACAAAATACACAGGATAACTGGTAAAAATCCATAAATGTAAACCAGTCTTAAAGATTCATGGTCAAAGAGAGACAAGTGTTTGAATTAAGCGGTTTGACCAATTTGTGTATTTACTAGACAGAATTTAAAGGAACATTATGTAACTTTTCTGGTGTAAGGTCCACCATCTACTGTTGTTCATGGAGATGTTATTTCTTGACCTGGAATGTTCCGTAGTAAGTCATAAAACATATCTACTTATCTGTCTAGTATGTCTTTAAATTACAGGTGTGCACAAAAATGCCTTGAATAACATACAATATTACGTTCCTTGCCTCTCCACAGATGTAACTGACTATTAACATGGTCTAGTAACATCACCTGCTTGTCTCCATGGAGACAGATGTGTTCAATGCCATACTGTGTAATATTCCATATAAAGCAGTAATAACCAGAAAAGTTACATAATACAACATTGATCATTTAAACTTGCATGGACTTCGCTAATGCAATACACAGCAAACAAACAAACATATGTAAAACTGCATTGTTGTTTTTTTCCCCACAAATATTATTTTTACATTTAGACATCGTGACATCCCTAGCTTTTCTCACACCATTTCAGAGCCACAGAAAACCCCTTTGGCAATGATTGTCCTATTGTTCCCAAAAACACCTTCAAGTATTTCAAATATGTAAAAATGTAAAAGAGTAAATAAATTAAGCCACAGCCTGAGATTCCTCCCAATTCACTGCAAAAATACATTTAAAATTACACAAGTTAAAATGAGTCAAATTCAGAAAATCTATATTCTTTTGAGAATTTATTGTTCTAGTATTTAAGCTTAATTATCTGCACAAAACAAAGAGTAAAGATGTGTTGACTAAATCATGCCATTTTCTTACATCACTGGCAGGTAACTATTAAGATTTTATTTAAAAAATTTAAACTAGTCAAAATTTTCTTTCTCAAATCTTTAAAATTCAAGTCAATTTAACTCGTATAAATGTGACTTTTTTGCAGTGTGTCCTTCAATAACACAATACTGTTCGGTCAGTGCACGTCTATCTACAGTGCTGCTATGGTGCTGCTAAAGCCAAAATTACTGATTATTGATATTATAGTAAAGGCACATGAAGCTTCGCTGTTCCATTTATACAGCCGATTGCTTTCAGCCAGGGCCGTGCACAAAACAATAGAAATAATGAGGCCAATAATGTTGAGAGCCAGTTTAGTCCTCTTTAGTCTTGTTTCCTTGTTTCTTTGTCCTAGTTTTAGGTTTAGCTTGATTCAGGACCTGATTTAGTCCTAGTTTAGTGCTGATTTAGTCCTGATCTAGACCTAGTTTTAGTTCTTGATTAGTTCTAGTTGTAGACCTGGTTTAGTCCTGGTTTATTTCTGGATCATAGTTGGTTTTAGTTGCACTTATAATGCAGACTTAGTCCCAGTTGTAGTCCTAGTTTAGTTCTGATTTTAGTTCTAGTTTTACACATGTTTACTTTGTCATCCTTTAGAATTGGTTTACGCATTAATATTCCAATTTTTATTTGTATTTTGGCATAAATTTTATTCCAGGTTTTGGCATGATTTTAGTCCTGGTTTGAACCAGGTTTAGTCTCACTGGAGCCATAATTCAGACCTTGTCCTGGTTTAGGTCTGGCCAAGTCCTGGTTACAAATATTCCTGGTTTTAGTCCTGATGCAGACCTGGCTCAGTCCTGGTTTTAGTCACACTTTTAGTGCAGAATTAACCTTGGTTTAGTCCTGGTTTAGACCTAGTTGTAGTCCTAGTTTAATCCTGATTTCAGTCTATCGTTCAGTCCTAGTTGTAGTCCTGCTTTATTCCTGGTTCATTCCTACTTTTAGTCCTTGCACAGTCCTGGTTCACTTTCATGTTTGAGTCCCACATTTAGTCCTGGTTTAGTCCTGTCTTAGACTTTACATTCACAGAAAGCATTAACGGCCACATCTCCAGCCTACAGCAGTAGTTTGCAGTTTGTCTAAAAGCTTTCTACAGTTTTATATTGTTAAAGGTAAAGTTTGGTCATTTTGCCACAATGCAACATAACTGTAACATACACTGCAAAAAATTATACCTACTGTAGTTAAAACTGTTTATTAAAAACCTAATACTGATTTGAGTAGTACTGATGTGATAAAATGTTGGTTTATTTACTTATAAAACTAGATTTTTTGGGTCAAATTTCATACTAGTTTCACAATATTATTTCTTATTTAAAACAAATTTGTAAAAAAAAAATTAAAAATCTAAACCAGAAACTTTAAAGTCACAACTATTAAAACAAAATTCTTGGATTATTTTAACCTATGCAGGGAGTCATTTTTTTGCAGTGTACAGTTTGTGTTCCTACAGCGCCATGCTTCGGTTATATGTGAACGATATGTAGCCCGTTGAAGCATTTATGCGGTTATTTCTATACTGACATTCAGAACATTTCATATATTATATATAAGATTAGTTTTATGTACATTAGACACACTGCTGTCAGTTTTACTTGAAGAATCCTGTAGATTTGGCCTGAGGAGGAGCCATCAGCATACTGGCTTGGTTCTTATGTGTGATGATAATCTAGAAATAAGAAAATACTGTCAGTGAACATAATAATACAATAATAATACAATACATTTATATAGTACATATTGTATATATTATTATATAACATCTTAGTAGTTTATTTGCCTTAAACTGTTTAGTAATATGCATGAATTTACAGTAGACCAGAGAGAAACAATGCCCTCTAGTGTTCTAATACAAGATTACTCAAATATGCATCAATCAATCAAAATATAACACTATTTTACATCAAATACCCCCTTGCTGAGGGTGTCATGTTAGTCCTGTTCAGTGCTATTTTGAAGTCCAGTGTTGAGTCCTAGTTTAGTCCTGGTTCAAGTCCTGCATTTAGCTTAGTTTTAGTTAAATTTTTTGTCTTCTTTTTTTCTACATTATACTTATGTATCGTGTGTGTAGTTACCGTGCACGGAGGCTGCATCCACGGCTCTCCATCGATCTGCATTGGGAGGGCCTTCTTTGTCCTATCCACAGAAAAAACAATTAACAACTGTGTCCTACCTAATGAATAATGATGACAACAATCTGTGCCATTGTCCCTTCTGATCACTGCCAATCCCTCACACCACATTTATACATTAACATTACATTTAAGACTATTCAGTAATAAAATCTTATTTTAGTAGAATATTTATATGAGCGTTCACTAGTCAGAAGAAAGGTAGAGGGGCCCACTCAAGACATCTCAAATAATAGGGTACCCTCCATTACATTAAAATGCAAAAGGTCAGACTCATAGCAAACGACTCATAGCAAACGATTATGAGCCATTGTAAGTCAGTGTCATGCTGAAGACTGGGGGCATGCCTGAGCTTGTCTTGGTTAGGCCTGTCACAATGATTACTTTATTGACTTATTGTTCAACAAATGAAAGCAGCAAGATTATTACTAATTCATGATAATGACGAAATACTAGCTTAACTTTCATTCTGCCAGACTATTTATTTTTGGCTGCTCATGTTTTATGGTTCATTTAGAAGGATCCACTCACTGGAATTTTCCTGCTTTTGTGTTATTGTGTCAGTGGCATAAAGTAGATTCAATTATATAATTTATTGTGTGTGGGCTTGTGTCCATGCTCATGTCTTTAATAGAGATAAAATAAAATAAACAAATTAAAAAATTACTTTAACAATATATTATACATCCAAATTTCTAATCATGATAGGCCTTGTTAGGGTTTGTTTAATTGTAACACATTTTGAAGCATAATATACAGTTAGAAAGATATACTGCGATAAATGATAATACTGCAAGTACTTTATGCCACTGATACAATAACAATAAAGCAGGATAATTACAGCAAATCACATTTAAATACAGTATTGTTAAAAGGCCTGAGCTGCAACAGAAATAGCAGAATGAACCACAGAAGTGACTTATTCAACCTTTTATGGCTCATATCTTATCATAACAAACAAAAATACCCCAAATCTACCCACTTTTACAAAGAAATTGTACACTCAATAAATAGTGAGCCCCAAAATATATTGTTCCACCTTTCATATATTGAACGATAAATCAATATAGTAATTCTTGTGACAGGTCCTGTGAGTGTATCTAGGGCTCTGTACCTGATGGTGATCTGAGAGGTTTTGGCGAGTCTCACTGCACTCTTCAGTCCAGTGTAAATCTGCCCCATCTCCATCGCCCCCTCCAGGCCAACCACCTCCAGACGACGGTCACTCAGATCTGAAGGCAATAAAGTCCCAGATCAAGCTTTTATAAAACACATTTAAACACATTTAAAAACAACCACAGATGTCAAATGTGCTGTAAAAGTCAATATAGAATGCAATCTGATAATACTTAACATGCAAAAATACAGTCAAATACAAAATAAAAATGTTAAAAGCCAGTGTCTATATAAACATAGAGGATAGTATAACAGAGAAGAGTCTAATGTAAGAAAATCTATTCATCTATTCATGGACATAAAAAGTGTGTATTTCTGCTGCCTTGTTTTCAATAACAGATTTTCTAACATATTTTAAATGTAATGATTCCTAATTTTAATTTTATTTCGGCCCTTTAAGAGTAAAGAGTAAATTTTTACTATTTTATAACATCATAATTTATCTGCACAGCCCTGTCCTCAGCTGTCCTCATTGTCCTCAGCTGAAGTAAGTCAGTGTCCACTGTAATGCCTGTTTACTTCCCTCTTGTTTCCTGTACTTGCTAGATATGGACACAGGAGGGAGTTATATACACACCAGCAGATAGGGCAATATAAAGCAGGTTGAAAAAAAAGTTTCATCATAACAATCAAAGTTGTTGTTTCTATTCACACTTCTCAGAGTTTGTCTTTCGTCTATAAATATCAAATGTCATCGTTGCTTTAGACTTAGACTCACGTGTTCAGAGTCAGTTCAGAGTTGCTTTACATGTTATATACAAATAATTTACTAATTTATGTGTACTAACTGACAGAGAAGTAGCATTTCTGTAATGTGTCAGCCAGATGTGGCCTTGACTAAGGACAGCTCAGTCCTTGTTATCTTCGCCAGAGAGGTATACCAGAGGTATAATACTCCCTATGACAGAAGCATAGTCAGACTGGATTGCAGTATAAGGGAATGGACAACACTATGACAGTGTCTTGAGGGTTCATGTCTCCAGGTGCTGGGTCTCATCTGGATAAACTCCAGCGTCATGTCTCTTCTCTTCTACTCTCAGACTAATTCAACTTATTCTACAACACTAATCTACTAACTAACTACATTTTCATATAGCTTCTATGTTTAAGTTTGAAGTTTGTGTACCTTGTGAAGTTACTTTTAGCACTTCCGGGTCAACTATGACTTCTGGCTCATCTGGACTTGACTTGGCATCGGTTTTCTTGGTCTCCCCCCACAGATTGGAACCGCCATGCATGCTGGGAATATTTAAGACTGCGACCCCCTCCAACGAAAGGCCCGAGAGATCAATGGGGGTGCCACAACACTTAGAGAAAAACACATGGCAAATAAGAGAGCCGTGTGTGAACTGCTAATGTTCTACTCAAGACAAAATACAAAGAAGAGACTGTTTTAAATACGGATGGGACAAGAGCTAGTGCCACTACGCTGGTGAGTTATTTTGAGAAGCCCTAGATCTAAAAGGAATAGCTACAATTACAGCAAAAATATTAAATGAAATAAATCAGAAATTGGGCTCTGAACTGCTGTTAAATTGAGTAAAAAGCTAATCTGGTCTCATTCTTGGGAAAAAAAACAAGATTAATATGTTCTAATGAAGTAAATACACTAGAACTAAACCAGGACTATAGTGGGACTAGATAGGATTAAATTCTGAAGCAAGACTATACCTCTAAAAACTAAACCATGACAAATAAAACTAAACTATATAGATTCTGACCAGGATTAAACTAGGGCAAAACCAATTATAAATATAAAATTGGAATAAGGGCCTAAAAAAGGACTGATTTAAAAAAAGGAAAAAAAAAAAAAATGTTGAACTAAAAACAGCAAAAAAAAAAAAGTTCTGAAGTTGTACCACAGTTTAGGAACCACCCCACTAAACCACTCTTGCAAAATGATGATGCATTCTCACCTCAATAGTTAGGTTTTCTTTGAGTTTCTTGCAAGAAGCAGAAATTGTTTCAGAAGTTGCAAATTCAAAATACCACAACTTATTCTTCATCCTGCAACCACAGAGAAAACATGTTGTTTTTTTAAAAGACAATTAAACACAAAAAGGCAAGTTTAATTCCTCAATGAACTGCCTTTCTGTAATAAAACATTTTGCACTGTCTCCCAAGGCAGTAGACTTCGGTCAGTGGTGTCTTAGTAGACCTAAATTTGTATTAGTCGACTAATCATTTTGCTTAGATTATAAGGATTTATATGGAACAAAAGCAGAAAGGGGAAGTGAGTTATCTAAAGTTTTGGTGTTTATATGTATAAGGCACATTAAACTCATGAATCAGTTTAGTCTGCTTATATAAATACATTGTTTCCTAGTACTTAGGCATAAATAATTGCTCCCATGCAAGTGTAGATATATAGAGATACATAATAGTTGTAACAATTTTTGTCACGCCCCTTTTTAGTCTACTAATCAATCGGCAGGACATGTCCTTATTTGCTGAATACAGCCCTACTGTCTCCACTTCAACAAAACTGCAGACCAAGTCACTGATGTAATTTTTGTGATACTGTTGCTGAATCCTAAATTTCCTTTGGGATCAATAAAGTATCTTTAATAAAGTCTTAGTCTTGTCCAAGTGTCTGACAAAGAGCACTGCAGCTCAATCACTCACTCTTTCTTGTAACTGATCCGCTTTGGGGCCAAACAGTGAATCATTTCAAGTGCCTATGACAGGTTCGGCCACTCATTTTACTAAAACACAGATTTTTGCAATATTATAATATTCACACTCGGTTTTTTTTAAGTTGGCCATTTTTAGGCCTAAAATTTTACTTCCTTTTTAGAAATTATGACATCACACTAGGGATTTCCATAACTGCAACAACAACCTAACAAAACTTCTCTAAAGTACACAGAAATTATTATCTGACATCATCATTCATTCACTCCATACCCGAGGGTGGTAAGCTACTATAGTAGCCACAGCTGCCCTGGGGCAGACTGATTGAAGGGAGGCTGCCAATCTGTGCCATCGGCCCCTCCGACGACCACCATGACTCACGCACACATCACTTTCATACTAGACAATGTGGGTGAAGTGCCTTGCCTAAGGACACAACGACATTTTTTGACCACTTGCTCCCCACTGTGGCACCTGATTTTCCCAGCAGTCTCGCATCCAAGTAGTAACCAGGCCCGGTCTTACTTAGATCTGACAAGATCAGGCTTTGACAAACTGGCATGTGTAAAGAACATATTTTTTGGGGTAGTTTTAACACACTTCAAAAATAACTATTGTGTACATTTACACAAGAACAAGATTTGGCCCTGGTTACAGTGGTTACTAAAGTAACACTTACCACACATCTGCTTTTCATTTTCAACCAGGAAGTAGTTTTTAATAATAAAATTAACCAATTGTCAAACTGAAGATTTTTTACATATTTTTTTTTAAATCTTAAAATGAATTATGTTAACTACTGTACATGTTTTTGAAATAGCTGTCATATGCACTGTAATAGTCCCATACCTGCTGTTAAACTTCTGTGGGTGTTTCTCCCTCATTGTGTGAAACCGATGTGCAATAGAAGCATCCTACAAAAGCAGAACAACATTAAAACAGGTTAAAACATTAACAAACAGCACTGTACTTCTGACTTTGAGATTTCCTATTTTTTCTGAACTCACCACCCCGATGGAGAAGTAGTTGTTGATGATTTCATATGGCACAGGGTCTCCCTGCTCTTGAGTTTCATCTGCAATCACTTTAAAGCTCCAGCGGTCCATCATCACCTCCGTGCTCAACTCTATGTCCTTCAAAATACGGCAAAGATCCTCTCCATCGTATCCTGGAATATAGAAAAGGTAAAATATATAAAAAGCGATGTTAACAGTCATCAGGGACTCGGACCACCCTCCACTGACACATCCATCCATCCATCCATCTATCTATCCAAGATTTTATGATAAGTTATTCTGTTTGACTACTTAAGTTAGGTATATTAAACTGGCTTTATATAACACTTATTGTCTATTCCACTCCACATTCATTGATTAAGTTATTATTGTAGCCACATCTGCGCTGGGGTAGATTGACAAAGGCGAGGCTGCCAATGTGCACCATTGACCTCTCCGACCAGACCATCAATCATTCACACACACCACATTCATAATATCCGGTGCCCTCAGTTTGCAGCTGTGGGCAGTGGAGAATTTTGAAAAGACAATTTAACAACTTAAAACTATAACTATGTACCTACAAAAAACATTATTTAAACTCGTAAATCAGATTACTTTTTCATGTTATGGATGTTATTTTGAGGACTCTTGATGACTGAAAATAAAGAAAAGCATATTGTCTTTATTGCTCTGGCAACAGTCCCAATTTTAATTCCCTCAAACCTATAAATAGCTTAAACAAAGCTTGCCAGCTTGTTTCCCTGTAAATACTAAAATATGTATTTATGTCTATTACTCATATTGTGCTGCAGTAATTCACAAGAAAACTTTCATATTTTCATTAGCAACAACTGAACATAATACAATTTTTGTTACCTCCTCCCCATCTGAGACATCGAGCAAGGTCATTTCCTGTGCCCAGAGGAAGTACAGCAACAGGAGGTCGCACCATTAGATTAGCCTTGTCTGTTTACAAATACAAAACATGTCACTATAGTCTCTAACACAGAGATAGAAAAACATTTGTTTATATATATTTTTTATCATGCTCTCTCACCAATGGCGTCTAGAATCCATCCCACTGTGCCGTCTCCCCCACACACTAATATCCTGTAGTCCTGTAGATTTCTAAAAAAACTCAAACTGAAACAAAAAATGCAAGAGTCATTTAGAAGTATAATTAAGTAAATGTAATGTTTCATCACAAAAGAGTTTCTTAATAAACTATTTGTGTTTGTTAATGCTTTCTTAAGGCTATAAAGATGTAGTTATTGTTAGGAACATTTCTACTCCACAAAATCAAAATGTGGCATTGCTAATTAGGGCTGCTGATAACAATGTTTTTAGCAGTCAATTAATGAACACTCTATCTAGTCAAACAATTATTTATACCATTATTATCTGATGCAATCTACAGTACCTACCCTGGGCCTGGACCTCCATTTGAGAGATTGTAAACTTGTCGTGGATTTAATAAATACTGGAATTTCCGTAAGATTCTGAAAAAGAGAAAAATAACTCAAAAATCTCAATCATGAAATTTAAACTTCCTGTGTTACTTTTGTTGTCACTGACCTTTCACCCTGTTTGCCACCACTTTTAGGATTCACAAACACTAACAGCGGGTGAGTGTTGGGCACAGGACTGATCTGTAAAACAAATGTTATGGTTACATAGTGATATTAAAGGTGCACTATGGAACTTTACTGGACAAAGCTCTGCCACCTGCTTGTCTACATCGAAATCATATTAATTTTCCTGCAATGATCATCAGTATATGATTACACTTATTTATAATGTTTTTAGTTTATATTTTGTTTTTATTGATGAAAAATACATTGAAACATGCATTTTTATTGTGAGTGGCTTGCCTCGCCACAGATCTGACATGTAACTTTGACTGATTCATATTTTTTGAAAGATTGAATCAAAATTGTAAAAATAATTTTTAAAATGTTGCATAAATTCTTATCCATTGTAAACCGATTACTTAAATATTAACTACTGGGTTAATCTATTAGCTAAGTTAGCATTAATGGCACTCCTAAAATAAACATTCACATTGTTTATGGACTTTACCTGCAGCACTTGTCCATCTGGAGTCGTATTGAGGTCACTGTCATCTCCAGATCCTGAACAGCCATTTGTTCTTTCCTTTAAAAAACAAACCGATAGGTAAATATTCATATAAATCATAAGGCAAACTAAGATATGTTTGTATTGTGGGGGTATGGAAAACCTATTCACTACAATGCATCTGTCAAAGAGATTACAGAAAATATTAAATGCACTGAGTCAATATGCATTATTCCTACAGCCTTTAAAACAGTTTTTCTATCCCACCACCCAATTGTTTATATAGCCATTTTATGTACATTTTAGATTTACTACTATTATGCTACTTAGGATGGGCGATATATCAGTTCCCATATCGGTATTGAACAATACTGATACCAAATCGTCTCACTATTCCATGCTGATATTCTATACTGATATTTTTTTGGCACTGCCTCATTCTCTGACTAATGAGTGAAAATGGAAATAGGAGACATGTAACAAATAATTTTGTATTCCAGATAAATACATTTTCTTATTATTTTTTTACAAAAGTTAATTAAAGCTAAAAAAAGTAAATATTGGTATCAGCAAATATTGGTTATCGGCCACAGCAGCAAACGAAACATCGGTATAAATAATAAATCCATACTGGTCCATCCCTAGTTGTCCATACACAATTTTATATATTATCAAATTGCCCCACTGGAATAAATAAAGTTCTATTGTAATTGTAACTCATAGTAGTAGTAGTAGTAGTAGTTGTAGTTGCAGTAGTATAAACCCTATTCATTGTGCAAGCATTTGTGATAGAGGCTACAGAGGGAATAAAGAGAGCACATGCAGATGTGCAGTGACAGTTGTGTGCTTTGCATTGTGTTTGTTGTAACCAGGTGTTTTCTGATGCACCTTTATTACAGGATATATGGCCCACGGAGGAAGGATATGGTCCCGAAGCGGCCCACAGCTGCACTCTATGGGCTCCAGCTCTGCACATTCATCATGCCGCTGAAACACAAGAACAAAGATAATTAAAGCTGGGGTAATGGACTATCTTCTTGTAAAATAAAAATACAGTTTTCCTCCCCATCATTATGCGTAAAAGTTGGACCTGTGCAGTATTCGTTTTATATACCTAAGCACATAGTTAAAAATACAGTAGCAATCAGTGCAAGAGGATTTATAAAATAGTACAGTTGAATAGGGTTCTGAATGTCTTTTATCACTCCTGGGTTTAATTAACATGCTGCTGGAAATACTTGGACTATGCACGCATGGTCTGTTACCAAGGAAACAAATAAGTAATTTAAAAGTTAAGTCCTAAGCACAAATGAACTAAATGCTTAGAACAACTTGATGGTTTCTATTGCATATACAGAAAGAACAATGATTGAATGTTTGTTTTGAGGGAGATAACTTCACTAAACACGATTAATTAAAGATGTAATATGTAACCTTTCCAGTGAGGGTTTTGCTTCCTGCTTGCCTCCATTGAAATGTTATTGCCTGATTTGCCCGATATATTCCACAGTATGGCATTAAGCATATCTATTAGGGATGGGCATTCGATGAAATTTTCTTAATCGATCGTCGGAAGAATTAACGATCGATTATCGATTAATCATTAACGTTTTTATATTAAAATGATCATCATTATTATTACTATCTGCACTGCTAATGTGCATAAATAAATTCAACTTAACGACATATAAACATAACGACTCTAGAGCCACATCAATCCGTTTGACATTATTATGTGTTTAATTCAGTTTTGCGCAACTCTCACAGAAACGAAACTTAAAACCGCATCGCTAATTTGCATGAACTCAGCGAAGATAAAACTACAGCTCTTGTGTCGCTGATGTGGTCAACTTCTGTCAGATTAAAAGACATGACTCAGTGGAATATACGTTAGTGTGACCATATTTGCGTTTGTCAAAACCAGGACACCGTACGGGGGGAGGGAGGTAGGGACTCGTCATCGACATTGCGCGACTCTCACCTGGCAAAACTTTTTCCCACTGGACACCGACACATATATTCCTGCTTTGTACACTGTCCACATGGACTCACACTTGTCCCGAACGCAACGGAAAGCGTGGAATTTCTTATACAAACCATCGTTAAATACGCATTTGTGCTTCGGTACGCTGCAGACTGACCGAGTGTTTGTGTCTGCTCGCTCCTTCTGAGTGCAGAGAGACACATGTACTGACCCTGTTTGGTCACGCTACGCACAGCAACCTGCATTCGGTTTGTCGATAAAAGTAACGTAATTGATGAAATTCTTAATGATCAATTATCGATTAATCATGCCCATCCCTAATATCTATCTCATATTTCTTTCATTGAAGGCTTGAAAAATACCTGCACTACATGTAAAATAATACATGCATTTTTGCGAATGGGCCTGCCTCTCCAATTGGCCTAGTGGCATCCCCTGCTCATCTCCATGGAAATAGATATGTTTAATGCCCTTTAGTGCCCCCTTAAATATATGAATGACAAGCAGTAACCCTACTGAAGGTATGTTTTTGAAATGCTAACATAATTAAAACTTGGTTACAAACTCCCAAATTGTGTTTCGCTTAAATGTGATGTTTGAAATGTTACATAACAGTTTATGATTCACAGCGGATGAGATGAAGAGGTTAAAATAGAGGTGCTTACCATCGTGTGGCACCAGACGCAGTGTTTGCCCGTTAAACCCTGAAGGCTCTTGATTTTTTTCTGGCATTTATCACACTTCCTCGAATCACAGTTCCCACTCACCCAGTCGTGTGTTGGAACCTGAAATGTACCAGGACTTTAATATCACTGCCCAAATAACAGCACATATGCAGCGGAAATGTACATTATGTAAGATGCAACACCACAAAAACAGTTAAAATGTCAAATTAAATTCTGAATATTAAAGATGGATTATGGAACTTCCTGGTGAAGGATCTGTCACTTGTTTATCTCATGAAAATGTACCAGGATTTTAATATCATTGCTCAAATAACAGCACACATGCAGCGCAAATGTACATCATATAAGATGCAACAGTACAAAAGCATTATATTATAGATACACTATAAGGAACTTTTCTGGTGGAGGGCCTGTTACATGCTTGTCTCCGAAGCACAAGGTTTTTATTGCTTACATAGAAAAAACAATGAATATTTGTTCTGAGGGAGATAACTTCAGAAACAGGATTATTTAAAGGTGTAATGTGGAACTTTTTGGTGGTTGTTTTGCTACCTGCTTGCCACCATTGATTGATTTATGATTTGCCTGGAATCTTCCACTATAGTACAAAATAGTAAAAAACTTTCATTTACACAGTTACAAGCCTTTCTATGGCCACACATTACTTGGCTATTGCAGAGTCACCTGCTTGTCCCCACGGAGATTTCTAAGTTTTATGCCATACTGTGGAACATTCCAGGCAAAACCACAACATAGCCATTAGGAAAGGAAGATTTTGGACCCTTACCAAAAACCTACATAGATCCCCCTTAACTGTTTTAAGTTGTTTTGACAAGTGTAGATTGACTTATTATTAAAATTACTGACTGTTTAATTTGTCTTAATATCTTTCAGGCAGGTTTAATAACTGTTTTAATTTACTTATTTTAGGCATAATTATCTGCCAAGAAGAAAGAAAATTAACAGCGTCATAACAAAACAATTTAAACCTCACTGACAGATAATTTTGCCTTTTAAATTACAACTGAAAAGAATAGTCTGAAATGACTGGGCACTATCAATTAATCTGGGACTAAAAATAAACAAAACAAAGCAATAAAAATAAAATCAAAATATTGCTTAGATCCATTTTAATATTTTGAATTCAGGTAATTTTAACTTAACTTACCCCTGTATCTTTCTTTGACTTGACATAGGTCTTGGTGCAGGGAGCTGGGTTCCTGTTGGCGCAGCGACCATGGACTGTGTATTTACAGCCTGTACAAAAGAAAAGACAATAGGGAGATAAAGACTAATCTATATTAGAATTACTAATTATTACACATGGTACTATGGTATTGGAAAATATAAGTGACAGCATCAGGTTTTATTGCAATTTACCCTAAAAATGTAATCATAAATGTGTTTTAATAAAGCTGGTCACATAATATAAGGAAATCAGAGAGGGGCTGATTTTTTTAAGGTATAATTGTGTAAATCATAAAATGTGTTGCAGTTTCCTCTGTAATACAAATATACTCTCAAACTAACATATGATACTGTGAAACTGTACAAACCAAATCAACTGTATTGTGAATTGTCGAAATCTTTTATCATTTCATTGGTTTAGGTTTTTCTCATTGTAAGTTTTGCCCCCCGATGGTGACCTGTGGTACTTACAGGTGCAGCACAGGCCCTGCTTCCTGAGCCCCAGCAGCATGCTCTGACACACGTTACAGTAAACAGGCTTGTTAAAATGCTTCATCCTCCAAAGGTGCTGTCCATCTTTCTGTGTCACCTGAGAAATAAAAACAAAAAGTTAAAGTCCCACATACACATTATACATATGCATATGTATAATGTATGGAAAAAAGTACATGTAAGTATTTAAGTAATTAGGTTAGATGAAATGTTCCTAAAATAAAATTTTGGGGTGTCATGCTAAATAATGCTGCCCAACTTAGTAGGAGGCCAAACACTGATGATATAAAGAATAAGTTGAAGTGTAGGTCAATGCATGTAAAACTTATACTGACCAATTATACCTACTTCATAAAAAAGCCAAAAGACCATAAACGTCCTAGAGACCACACTAATAAACCTTTTGTGAAACTGAAAACCCTAAAATTTATGGAACAGCAATGAGGAAAGGACATGTCTGTGTACCTTTCACTCGCACTTCCCTAGAACAAAGAGGCCTTGTTGTCACTGGAGCGGAACTTTTTGGACAATGTATTCAAAACTTCCCATTCAATTATTCACTTCAAACATATAAACAAAAGGATAAAAATTTTAAACTACAGAAATATATAAAATTAAAATGTAAATTGTGCAATTTTGCCACCATGAGTGATGGTTGCCTAATTGCTAGTGAGTGTGACTTTCTTGGTTTAGGTCACGCTTCTATTTCAACATGTATTCAAATTGCCCACTGAGGAGTGAAACAATTCAAATGACAAAAACAGCTGCTAGTTATCTGCTTAGTTAATGTTGTTTTTGACAACTATGATAATCAGTTTGAGTCTAATGAATATGTGTGGATTTAAAAACACTGAGGAGCCCTTCCTGGTTTACCACCTATTCATGCAATGACATCGGGAGGTGGAAGTGTTTGAGATTAACTGAATAAACTCAGCTTCTCTGGTAGAGCGTCTGCCTCCTGGTTGTTTCCATGGGGATCTTATTTGTTTGCCTTGTGAATATTCCACAGTGTCATCAGTGTGATTATTCTATCACCATGAGAAGCAGGTCAGGCCACCAGCCCAAGTTACATGTCAAAGCCTGATCTCATCAGATCTCAGAAGCTAAGAAAAGCCAGGCCTGGGTAAAACTTGGATGGGAGACCACTGTCATTGTGTCCTTAGGCAAGACAGTTCACCCGCATTGCCTAGTTAGAAAGTGGTGTGTGCATGAGTGTTGGTGATGGTTGTTTTGGGTATCTTGAAAGTCTCTATATAACTACATTGATTAATTAATAATAAAAAAAATAATTAATGTCAAATCTGTGGAGAAGTGACCCAGCTCATAGAAAGAAACATGTTTTTGTATTAATTAGCAATTAAAAGCCATTCTTAAATAAACAAGAGATACGTTTAATGCCATACTGTGGAACATTTTAGGCAAAACCATAACATCTGAAGACAAGCAGATCCTTCACCACAAAAATTACATATTGCATCTTCAAAAATATTGATTAACAATAGCTTAATATATTAGAATAGAACCTTTATTTAATCTGTATCACAGTTGTCATTCCATCCAGTAAAATGCATCACTCTAGTGTAGTTGATACAAAATGCCCACGGGTCTTTTGTATAGTCTATTTTTCACTATCTATTCATAAACCTACTCTACACTGTCTCTCTTTACAGGGTGGTTTTGCACTCCCACTCACGAGTAACCGTGATAATAAGATGAATACAGAAAGTAGCACTGAATATTATTATACTCATATATTAAAATGTTTTACATTGTCAACAAAACAAAAACAGATTACTCGTGGTGTGTAGGTGGACCCTTAGGTTTTCACTCACAAATGGGTCTGTCCCAGAGAGATCATGTAAAGATGTCTAGAAGAAACTACGCAACAGCTGCGTGGCACATTTGCTTGCCATCTTGTGAGGGAAGGATAAAGATTTTTCTCAATCTGGTAAGTGCACTAAAGGGCTATACAGATAAAGGGTTGCCACAATACGAAATTTCAAACTCGATTTAGGAAAAGGCTCAATACCAATTTTGACAATGACTATAAAAACTCTGTTATTTTAAACAAAAGATTGTAATTTCCCACACAATATAATTTACGTTTGTTTAATATTATCAAGCGGTTTTATACGAGTTATAATATATATTCCAGAAAGGTCATTTTTTTCAGTATCGATGGATGCTACTAATGTACTTTTTAAACAAATTTTAGTATTGATTAGTATCTAGATATACATTTTTTGTGACAACCCTATACATATGCATTACTTTAGTTATTCACTTTTGCCTTTCACATTTTGCACAAACAGTGAGATTGAGCAGGGTAGAAAAGGCACAGTTTTCTGGGGCATGTTGTATTTCCGTAAAACGAAGTTTCTCTGTAAGGCAAACACTCACACAGTATTGCAAGTAAGTAACCTAAAAATAGTAATTTAAACTCTAAGACTGAGTAGTTGGTATAGTTTGTGCAGTGGTTAAGTTGCTGTACATGTAATGAGCAGTTAGTCTAAATTTTGCAGTTTGAGTTATAGCTCTGGTAATATGCTGAATGTCTCACCCCACACTCTCCACCTGTTTACACTTATGTATGATCTAACATGGGCTTAAAGAAAACTATATCCAAAATAGCAAAATAGTTTATACTTTTTCTGTAATTCATGTTTGATGGATTAAATTTAAAGTGACATTTATTCACTACAGATTATGGATAACTGTGTAAGTAACTGCGTGAAATAGATGCAGCTCCCTTTTTGTTTACATGTGTGCTCGGGAAGAACTTCCAGTCAAAACATGGCCGTCAAATGTGAGATCAATTACTGTAGGTTCATATCGGAATGTCTCCTCTAGAGTTATATTCCTGCTCTCTCTCCCTCTCTCTTTCTGCCCCCTCCCTCTCTATATCTGTCCCTCCTTCTCTACCTCCTTCTCTTCTCGCTCACTTCCTCCCTTTCTCTCTAACCACAGCCTCTATCTCTCTCTATCCCTCTGTCCCCTGTTTCCTACCTCCCCCTTCTCTCTCCACTCCCTCTCTTCCTCTCTCTATATATATTTCTCGCTCTCTCTCTCATCCCATCTCTCTTTCCTCTTCTTCCTCCACTTCCCCGCTCTTTATCCGTCTCTCACGCCCTCTATCTCCGGCCCCCCTCTCTCTCTACCATCACTCTCCCTCGTTCTTCTCTCTCCCTCTCTGTCCATCTAGCTCTCTCTCTCGCTCTCTCTCTTTTGGCCGTGTATTTTAAACATGAATCTCTATGGGGAGTAAGAAAGCATTCTGCAGTGTGAGGGGCAGACTAAAGGCACCAAGGCTTCGAATGTCCATTTGTACCCAGAAATAGCCCAAAGGGGAAGTCCCTGGCATTGTTCTCACCCAAACCAGTCCAGCTGACCAGAGGCTTGGCAAAATCATGGAAAACTAAATAAAACCTGTATAACATTTCTGTGGGAAGATGGGATTGGTAGTTTTCAGATTCAAGAATGTGGTATGATTTAACTATTTCAGATGCAGGAAATTTATAGCATTTTATGAGATGTATATGAAGGAAATTACACAAATGTTGTTTATTAATCCATATTATAGTATATTAGCATTACAGGTTATGATTAATGGTTTACTACATAACCTTTCTGATGGAGGTCTGACACCTGCTCCATGGAAATGCCCAGACATTTCCAGAGTAAGACATTAAACTTCCTTTCATGTTCTGTTATAATCCTCCCAGATTGTGGGGCTGCCAATTTCCCTATTGATAACATGGAAATATTCTAATAAGTAAATCCACAAATGCTAAATCGCTATTATACAAAAAAATATCTATCCATCTCTATTAAAGATGCATTGAAATTATCCTGGTGGAGAATAATTGTTTTTATAGAGATGCTATGCTATTTGCCTAGAATATTCCACAGTTTGACATTAAACATACAGGTCAGATTTGTGGAGAGGCAACCCTACTCACAGAAAGAATACATGATTTTGAAGGTATTTTTCATCAATAACAACACTTGTTTTTAAGTAAATATATAAGATAGTTACGTTTAATGCCATACTGTGGAACAATAACATCTCCATCAAGACAAGCATTAATATAGCAGCTGAGCTTGAAACCAGATGACATTCCTGCACATAACTGCAAATCTCCTGTGTGTAGATCAAGAGGCCAAGGACAATATGAAAATAGGCCAACCATTCAGTCTCCTCATAAAGGTTTTACCACAAAGAGAGAGAGGTGTGGAAAACAAACATGGCGGTGCATACCTTTAGCCCAAGGAGCACCAGCAGCGGGACGTTGTTCATGCCTCCGTTCACCCACTCGTCCAGGGACACGGTGCCACTGCTGTCTGCATCTATGGCTGTCATCATGTCCTTCAGAACCTGAGGAGAAGAATGTCAATGAAGCTACACTAAGATAGTATGATTAATTGAATTTATGAAGAATAATTGTGTGAATTTCTGAAGCAACAATGTATTTTTTTTTACCCTGGCTGACGATTAATAACAGCAGTAAAACAGATCAATTAAATCAATCTATGTTACAGTGTCACTTCTTCATCAGTAACGTACTTGGAGTTGTGATTTGTTTCATTCACATGTTTAACACATAAACCCAGCAAGTTTGAGCTGTTTTTCTTCTCTAAAACTGAAAAAAACTCTGTTCCACCTGTGCTGTTAAACTCCATACACCTTCACTAGAATCATTTGGATAATTTTAGTCCTGGAAACTCTACTGCCCTGGAATCTCTATTGAACAAAAGCCAAAAGGTAGATGCAAGTTTGAAAAATACCACTACATGACATCACAAGGTAGAACAGAGCATTTTGAGTTTGGGAGATGTAAATAGCCTAATAATGTAGCATTACTTAACCACGTGTGAATGAAACAAAACAGGTATGTTTCTGGGGAGATAACAATGTTCTAACATGGCTAAATGCTCATTTCTTTTGCATAAAATAGGACCTTTTAAAGTATATGGACTTTATCTTTATTTGTTAGCTGAAGGTAGGAACAGCACATTCAGTTCACATTCAGAGTTAGAATGTAACACTGTTCATTGTGGTGCTGTGAAATCAGTCCAATTGAGAATTGTTTCAGCCGAGCAATAGGCTCTATTCACACTTACGTCACTAACCAGGAAGACGTTTGCAACGATGCGATTACATCTTCCAAGGCCCAGTTTTCTTCATCTACATGTCAGTGTAGCATTCCGATATGTCCGGCTAATCAACAATTACAACCCTACCTCAGTTTTCACCATTTCCCCACTGACTCACTCTGAGCACATTGGTACATGTGATTAGAAGAGATGAGGGTGCTAAATTCAAGATGATTCCAAGCAGCACATAAGTCTGCAGTCCTCATTTTACCGCTGTTCACATTTACTTCAATGGGTTTTACCACAGTTGGTTTTAGGCAAGCCTGTTGACAATAACTCATGTCTTTCTAAACGTCTTCCTGGTTTGTGACGTAAGCGTGAATAAAGCCTATCGTAGGGACTTTTTAACCAACCGTCTGTCAGTAAAGCAGAGTTTGTACTTTGGAGGAAAGAATTTGACTACTTTTTGTGTTCAATAGCACTGACTTGAAAATCTGTCCTTGAATTAAAACTGAAAGACATTTTCTCAAATTAATGAGAGAAAAAAAATCTAATAAAAAATTGGGATCTATTATTTGATTTTTTCCCCCATATCTTGTGCCCTAGTTCATTTCAGAGAATATGATAGCTGGTCCAGATGACTCCTTTGGATACATTTTTGTGCAATGCTTTTGGTGATTAACAGCTAGAATATTTACATTACCATATTTACCCCCCCAAGTTTCCAGATTCTGTGTTGCTATATAAGGACGTGTATTACGAAATGAATTATGGATACACATAACAGACATATTTTTCAAGGCCAGGTAGCATTCTTTGATTTGGCTGGGTTTCCACTTGTACACATTGGAACACAGCACATGGGATTAAACATGGACTAAACAAAGACTAAACCAGTACTAAACTAGGACTACACCAAGGCTAAATCAGGACTAAACCAGAACTACACCAGGTTTACACCAGGAGTAGACCAGGACTAGACCAGGATTAAACCAGACCTACACCAGAACTAAATTGGGACTATCAAACCAAGACCAAACCAAAACATATATGAAAATAGATTTAAAAATATGTGGAGGGGGGCTTACAGGAAGTAGCTCTGAGACATCCCAGCCAAGGTAGTCTGCTGCATGCATCATCTGAGCAATGATTCTGTCCACTTCCTGTTTAAATAAAACCAAAACAGTGAAGTGAGAAAGCGATTAAAAAGTAACAAAACCTGATTTTCTATTTCGACTTACAGAACTGTCCAGGACTCCATTACCATCTCTGTCGTACAGTTTGAAAGCAACTGTAGAAAGAGAGACAAAAAGTGTTTTTCAGAGAAGAATGACTAATGAAATTCAAATCTGAAGGCTGCAGATATTGAATTATATCAAAAATATATTGTCTTTTAGTGATACTTTGCAGTGGATGTCATCAACATTCTCTGAGAGTGTGAAGCTAACTGAATGCACTGCTCTGAAGCTCTGTTACTCAAGTTAGACTTTGAGCTTTGTTTTAACACAGACTGAGCAGAAAGAGCTGACTTGGATGGGATTACAACAGGTGAGAGGATTTGTGCTGCTAGGTCTGGTAAGTCTCTCGCACATAACATTACAGAGACAAGCCAGCTAGCATTTGCCAACAGTTTTTCAGTTAGTCACTCTCTCATTTTTGTGTAAAATCAAACACTTAAACAGGAACATGAAGGCTCGTATTGATCACAGGCTCCTAAATATAAATGTTGAAATCTATTTTTTCTTGAGTTTTCAGACACTCTGTCACTGCAAAGTATCAATAATTCAAGAACCTTCAACTCGCACTAATAACTCACACTCCAGCTTGTCCCTGGGCTGTCCATCTTCCAGGAGAGAGAAGTAACAGGACACATCCTTCAGAAAGACCTCCTCTGCAGCAAACAGACAGAGACGAGGAGATAGTGAAACTTATATTATAGCTTTACACTTTCCATAGCTATTAACAATTCAAACAAACCATTATATCTGTTTTGAAACTGAAAGTCTTCAAAATGTCACCTATAAACAGGAACCCCATGAAGAGTGAAAGTACTAGTCTGTAATGCCCACTGCTGACAGCCTTGTGTTGATAAAGAGCATTCCAAACGAACTGTAGTAAATTGATGTGAGGTTTGTGTGATGCTAGCGTGGAGGCGTTTTGTTTTGGCTAATCTTACTGGCACTGTCTGTGGAGTCTTTGGAGTTTTGGAACGATCGGAAGAGTCTCTGGCACAGGTCCGCAGGGAAGTCCTCCACCTCCAAATATGTCTTCAGAAACAGACGGAAGCCCTCCTCATTGATGCACTACAACAACACAAAACACACAACGTAAATAATGAAATGAATAAATAATAATCATGTTCAAAAGTTGCATTAATATTAGCAAGCTACTCATGGGTTTCAGCTTTGTGTTATATGCAACATCTTGACGACCTTTACCCCATTCAAAAGATATAATATTTTGTTTTTAATTGTTAATCTCTATGGTAATAGTCCTACTTTTTCATCAATCTGAAACCCATGGATATAGCTCAGGTTTGTGTCTGGCTTTTTGTTTCTGAAACTGATTTATTGTAATCTAGAGTCCTAGGTGATAGTGTAATGTAAAAGTTTAGTACCAGTCAAAAGTTTAGACACACTTTTTAATACATTTTTCTACAGATTTCTACAAATATCTGCATTGTACATTCTCACTGAAAAGCCATGAATGAACCCATATTGACTGTAGTAAACAAAAAATATCTCAAAATAAATAAAAAAATTAAAATTATAAAAAAAAAAAAAAAAAGCCACTCTTTGCTTTGAACCGTGGTCTTTACTGTTGGCATTTCTTGATCTTGACATGGTATACTTGTGAAGTGAAAACCATTTCAGGAGAGAAAGGCCAAGGGTTTGTAGCACTGTCAATAAAGCAAGGAGTGGCTACTTTGAGAATTTGCATCTAAAATTAAAAAAAAATATTTAGTTGAATTATTTCATGTCTTTTTATTTCTTTGCTACATAATTCCATATATCTTGCACAATTTATTTTATGTCTTCTGTATGTATCTAAAATGTACAGTAAGTAATAAACATAAAGAAACAAAAACATTTAATGGAAGGATCTGTCTAAACTTTTGACTGGTACTGTAAGTGGAAGATTATTTTAGTGCATGTTCATTGTAAACCCCAAAGCTGATCTAAAATCTCTTAATAATAGAAATTGGTCCTCTAACTTCCTGTACAAAACTGCAGAACTGAGAACCTCCGCGTCTTCAGAGTAGCATTTCAGTTTCAGTTGTGACAAGCGGTAGATTTTCATTCACATGACTTTATTGTTGACAGTATGAATGCTTGGCATAATTGTAAGTAAATACAGGGCTGTGGGTGTTGTTAAGGGGTATTAGAAAACAATGAATGCAAGACCCAAAGAAATAAATGGGAAAATACATGAACAGACTATCATATGGGAACACAGTTAAAACAACTCTGGTGAAATGTTTAGGAGTTACCATGGTGGCACAGTACACACACAAAACGTTTTAAGAAAACTCAAAAAACAAACAAAAAAAAAATTAAACAACACATTTTCAGGAGTCTGTGATTTAAAAAAGTGTCCATGATTCTGTTTAGGTGTTTGATTTTCAACAAAAAAGGTGAGAGAGACTAACTGAAAAACTGTTGGCTAATGCTAGCTATCTTGTGACTGTAATTTTATGTGTGATAGATTTATTTAACAGCACCAGTCAGATTGCCTGTTGTAGTTCCAGCTACAACAGTTCAGATTAAAATCTAACAAGCCTCAGACAGAGCAGAGCCTACAGTTAACATCAGCTGCAAGGTATCAGTATAATGTTTTTATTAATGCATATCTATAGACTCTTCACTTGTTAAAAACAAATAGCAATTTATTTATTTTTTTATCAAAAGCTTTGATTCAATTGGATGTTTTCAGATTCTACAAGAGAAGATGGGGTCTGGAGACAGTGATATTGAAATGACTATACTCATAAGAAATGGCAAAGAGAGAATTCCACAAATGTTGGGTGGATGATGTGTCTTGCCGCACACAACAACAATAAATCATTGTCACAAGTAATGAGCATTTAACCATCAACTTTCAAGTAAGCAAACATTTATATCAACAAAACTTTTTCTGAAAATAGAATACCACTTCATTCACAGAGTCTCGTAGATACAGACACAGTGAAATGCACATTTGTGGGTTTTGTTTGAGTAACTTTGCTATTTTAGGAAGTAAAGGACAGTTACTGAAGTCATCAAAATATGTGTTGCTTTGTCAGTAGCAACATAAAACACCACAGTTGAATAAGACAAGGTAGCGTATGCATGGTGCATGGGTAAACTACTACACAAGACTAACAATTTGACTGTTGTAGCAAATATGTTTGTGATTTACAAATACTACAAATATCATCCATTAAAGAAGACCTATTGTACTTCTGTCTGCTACATAGTTATAATCTATAGCACCCATGAATCATTGTTATAATTTGCACATTTTAAATATTCTTTGCAGTACTCTTGTAAAAGAAACAAGTCTTCTGTGGAACAAAACGGCATTGCCCAATAGGTGCAGACATTGTCATAGACATCACAACAAATAGCTGTGTAGTTGGTGGTCCCGCCGATGGAAAGCTGCAGATCACACTAGTGAGCAGAGGATTCATTTGTACCAAAATGATGTGGGCATATGCCAGTGGCAGTGAAAATGGGGGTGAATCGGCAAAATAGCATCTTGTAAATAAGCGATTTAAACTTACTCAAATATGCATGAATCACTTCATATACAACTTTGGGTGAATAAACGGTGAGGGGAAACAACTATGACATGGTTAAATGCAGTGAAAAGGTCTGCTTTAAATAGTATACGTTTCAGTTGTGTAGGTAGGTCTCAAAATGTAAAAAGATTATAAATAGGCTGCATTTACATTTGGTCATACATTGTAAAAGGTACATTGAATTTAGTCACTGTTGACCATAACTTCATTGCAGTCCGTGTAGTGAGGGTTTTGTATTTGATCAAATAGGTACTAGTAGGAACCAGTATTTCTGCATTGATTGTGTGGATTGAAACTGAAAAGAGAGGCTTTTGTGCTGCCTGCTGCCTGTGCATGTCTATTGCTTGTCCTGTGTCATCGTTGTTGTTGACTTATGTTGTGGAAAAGTCTATGTTTTTGAATGCTGTTATATGTTTAAAATCTGCTAGTGACTTGTTAACTTTTATAACTTTTTACCTCATTGTATAGATGCTATGCACTGGCACCATTTTATCTGAAAAATGCCCCTCAGCATTCAGAGGATGTGGCCCTGGGGCAGAACTATGGGCAGCTTAACAGACACAATGTGTTTCTTTGCTTTTTATGGCATAATTTTTGGTCCATTAAACGGCAACATGGAAATGGAAAGTAGTTTCTCCATTGTTGCTGTGGCTGTGCAGAGTTTGTTAGCTACCAATAGGGGGGAGATAAACGCAGAACTGTAATCAAATAATCAAATTCAGTGGTCTGTGCTCATTGGCGCATGGCCCCAAAAATATTTTTCTCTTCTGCATTACTTCTCAATAGGGGCTAGCACGTCCTACCCGTGTGGTGTCTGTAACGTGCACAGTGTGGTGCGTTTGGACCAATCAGAGCGAAAACTGCTAGAGCGGAGCTAGAGCGGGCTCAGAGTGGGGCTAGGCCAAGTCTTACAAAGCTAACTTTTAGGCGCTTTGAGGATTTTAAAATGTTTAAAAGTTTATGTTGTGAAAAAAGAAAAGAATCCTTACAAAATTCAACCTTTGTGAAAGTTGTTGATGCCCTGTCAGCCAAACGCAGGCAGTTTGATTTCCCAAAAACATGCATTGCTCTCTATGGAAGAATTCTTTCTGGGCACAAGCTCCTCGAAGGTGCAGTACCTGGAGAGGCCACTAGTCATCTTGAAATTTATAAAAGAAGTGAACTAAGCGAGTGTGACGTCACCTGTAGTGTTCAGCGGCACTCAAATGAGGCTAATGGTTACATGCGTGAATCTGGAGCCAGGCTCTAAATTGTGAATAGGATTTTTTTGACAGACAAAACAACAGGAAAATAAATTCTGGATCCTATGTCGCGGGTTAATACGAACATTTTAAGACCAAAATGACATGGCTCAACAGCAGCAGTTATAGAGAGAGGGGCAACAAGCTCCTAATGTGAGTCAATTGGAGCCAGAAGAGTCAGAAGGAGCCACGGGGCAGCTAGCACGTTAGCTATGTCAAATCATATATATGGGCTATGGGAATGCCTTATCCAGTTTTTATTACAGATCCATGGAGATAAAGAACACTTCAACTCCTCCCACAACAATTAATCTCCTCAACATATGGACTCAGACTCAGACTCAGAAACATGTTTTTAAGGAGAGAAACGTCATCAGTTCAACCTGTTTTTTACAGTCTTAAAAACATGAAAAACAAAACTAGTTAATTTTAAACAGTTTGCAGTGGTCCATAGTTATTCCTCACTTACGTTATGCATTCCAATCATATTAATTATTCCCCGTGATGAGTTTATAATCATTTTTCAGAGGCAAAAGCAGAGTGTAGTGTAGTGGTAAAGTTAGCAATAATTAGCATGCTAGCAGCGCACTTCCTGTCGGACAATAAAACTCTATTTAAAGTAGCTGCAGACAGTACACGTCAGTCTTATTTTTACCTCAGTAGCAGCTTATACAATATATCTGTACTGGGGGAGGACAAATTTAGCTCGAAAACATGGAGATAAATCGAGCTCAGACTATGTAAGCACTACAAGACAATGAAATATTCTAATGCCATCAGGAAATCCCTATATTTTATCTACAATATATCATGCAACTTATAATAAGAAATAAGTTTCACTCCTAATTTAAAATAGTGTTCAAATGTGACATCTGTAGTGAATTGCCGCTCCTCGTCCGTCTGTGCGTGATGGCTACAGGGCAAACAGACTGCTCTCCCTCGGTAACGCTGAACCACAAACCCATTTCTGTTGACATTTTCCATTTGTCGCTGATACCCTGCAGAGCTGTCCCACTAATAAATAACTGTACGGCACAGACAATGAGACAAACGAAGGGAGACATCATCGGAACTGTTAAAGTGAAGATCTACACACTATCTAAAATAAGTTAAAGAGCCGATATTATGCTATTTCTGATCTATGTTATAATGTTGTTTCCTCACCAAAAACATACCTGGAGTTGTGTTTTGTTTCATGTCATGTGGTAATACAGGAAGTGCGCCACTGTATTTTTAAACTCCATACACCTTTACTAGAATCATTTGAATGATTTCAGCCCTAAGGGTAAAAGGTAGTTATTAACTTGAAAACTACCACTACATGAGATCACAAGGTGGGACAGAGCATTTTGACCTTTGGAGATGCAGACAGAACAATAAAGTAATGGTGGTGAACTTTAAGTAGTGCAGGCCACAACCTGCGACCTGTGACCATTGAGGACACTATGGAGGTTGTAGAGCAGGTATCAGTACTAAAAACATTTCCTGACTAGCTTTATATAAGTGGTAACAAGTATAAGACAACATTGACTAGACACCCATGGACCACTATGGAACCATTATATTAAAATCCCTCATTCTAATGTCTAAAGAAAGAGCGTTTAATCATCATTTATCACTGTGGTATCAGAATCTGTATTGAGTATGTAGTCTATCCCTTAGTACTGAAATCAAGTTTGTAATTTTAGTATTGTGACAACACTAAAAGAAGTAATAATTAGGTCTAAAAAAATTATAATAATTTGAACTATTTTGCCTTCTATTTTACAGTACATATCATTCTATTATCCCAAACCTGTCCTTATAGTCACTAGTAAATTGTCTGTCTCTCATTTGGTAGGCTGCAGTAAGTCGGTGATGTACAGTAATGGAGGAGGGTTTTTCAGCTTACATTGTGTGAAGGGGGAGCCAGGTCTCTGCTGCGTGGGCAAAACTAAAGAGGTAATTTACATCTACAGCCCCGGTCCAACGCGCCTCAAGCATTTCTCAGCTACAGCTTAGTCAACACGATCGATGGATTTCAATCTAATTAATCTGCACAAGGCAATTAATGTTCAGATAATAGGGCTCGCCACAAGATATACTGTGCACTATAGTAATAAATCGACATTGAAATGAAAAATGGTATCAATATACAAGCTAGGGCTGGCTAACTGGCTATATTATTTATAGTGGGGCTGCTACCTACATGGATTTTAGTGTTTGACTAGTCAGCTATAATTTTTCTATTTCTATTGTGCATTGGAACTTTTTAGAAACATTTTTTTAACCAAGTACATGTTGAAATATGTAGATTTGTGAAGCCATACAATATAGCTCTAGTCTATTACTGATGAAAATCAGAAATTGCTTCTATTTTTCCAAACACTGTCACTGTATAAAAAGATCTTTTGGCATGTGTTTTAGAGTGTATTTTCCAGACAATGATAACAATTATCAAAATACAATTATGATTATTTTAATAGCCAACTAGTCACGATTATTCTGGTTATTCTGACTTAAATTGTTGCTTTTTTCAGGTATTTATTTTTCTCTATAGTGTCACTGATAAAAATGTTGAGGTAACAAATTTTAAAAATCACTTCTACAGTTTTTGAACAGGCCTATTTTGACCTATGTGATGAAAAATGCAGTTTACAATGAACAAAATTTAAAATAAGGATTTGCGTGAAAAAGCGTGATATATCTTCATCAAGATATAGTTAACAGTCTCCTATTGTGTATTTTCACAAACCTACTCACAATTCCAGTGTACAAATATCCACAAATATCACAAGTAGATATTTTTATCATATTTGCTCAGCCTTACCTCTCCATGTCTATGCCGCGCCAGGCTGCCATCTGGGTCAAACTCTCGGAGCACATCCTTCACCTTCAAGCTGCAGTCTATAGCCAAGGGAAATACATATTTTCAAAAATCAGTGTCCTGAATAGAATGGTTAGAAGTTCAGAATACTAGCAGGTCTAAACTTGGACAATATCAGGCCTAAATTAGGGCTAAATCAGATCTAAAATGAAGCTAAACCATGAATAAGCAAATTATAAATAATGATGAATCCAAAGGAGGACATAAAATGAATATATTTGTCTCAAAATAATACATATACTCAATAGTTTGAGGTACACTGATCTTGATCTACTAGTATATCAGAACTAGTATAAGACCAAATGTTATTTTCTGTTAACAACTAACTGCCAGTTGTCTAAACAAGTAATGTTTTTAGTACAATTATGGCACAAAAATGACTATAGGGTATTGAGTCTTTTCCTTATTATCAACCTTGACTTTGACATTATATCATGACAACCCGACCACAGAGAGGAGGGGGTCACAGGGGAGATCTGCTGCATAAATCCACATGGGCTCACAAAACAACATGTTACTTCCACCACAGTAAACGCAGGACACAAGGTCTATTTATGGTCTAACAATGCATTTGCTCTGAATTACAACATATAGCCTAATGTGTAATTACTGAAATGATAACATAAACTTTTGCACTTTGCAGAGCGTGTAACTTTTAGAATAAAATTACTTGAACTAGTTCACCACAGTAGTATTGTGATTAAAATTATAAAAATACAGAAGTTAGTGAGGTGTTAAAAAAATGGGTAACACGACTATACAGAAGTTCATTCTTTTTGGTTCAGTAATTGTGCTTATTCATTGTAAAGTTTCAGTCATATCTAACAAATAGTAGACTCTTAAATTACCAAACCTGGAAATCTACAGAAAGTGAGAAACTTGAGTGTTAACAGCAAATTAATGATATGCTATCTTGATTTGAGTAGAAAGAAATTAAAGATAGTATATAACTTTCTGGGGATGGAAAGTCAGCTCCATGATTCAATGGAAATAAAAAGTTAAAACCATATTTCAGGACACTCTCCATGGAGACAGATAAGTTTAATTCCATAGTGTGGAATATTATAGCCAAAGGAACAGCAATTACTTGGAAACAAGCAAGAGGAGGCCCAAATAGCAGTCAGGCTTGTGGAGATGCAAGCCTGCTCACAGATAGGACATATGTTTTTCTATGTTTTTCAGTGCAATTTAAACACCCATAAAGAAAAAACATGCTTGTGGCTAAGAAGTTACATACTGGGGCTTTAAGATAAATGTTTTCTTTGACATGAATAGCAGACATGTCAAAGCTACAAGTATCAAGAATATGTTTATATATATTACTTTCTGCAGTTTAATTTTAACTTGTGTGATACATATATATATATATATATTTGTAGTGAAAGCGCTGAGGGGGAGGAGACAGTGCCCACATGTTCTGTTGTTCTGTACTCACACTCGATGTACTGCTGCAGCTGTATGAAGTCGACCGGGCTCAGCTCCTTCACCTCCGAGTCTGCGCGGGCGGACATGCTGCCGCTTAACTGATCTACAAAACAGAGAGACAGGGATGAGAGAGGGAGAGAGGGAGGGGAGAGAGGGGGGCATGCTGTTGCTTAACTGATCTGCAAAACCGAAAGAGAGAGGGATGAGAGGAAGAGGGGGAAGGAAGGAGAGAGAGGCGGCATGTTGCCACTTAACTGATCTACAAAACCGAAAGAGACAGAGAGATGACAGAAGGAGAGAAAGGGAGAGAGGGGGAGTGAAGAGAGCGAGGGAGGAGAGGGAAAGAGATACTGCCTCTTAACTGATATATAAAACAGAAAGTGAGAGATGAGAGAGGGGGAGAGAGATAGAGGGAGAGAGAGAGACAGAGAGAGAGAGAGAGAGAGAGAGACAGAGACGGGGGGGGCACTTAACTTATCTACAAACTAAAAGAGAGAGGGAAAGAGGGAGGTAGGGTGGAGGTGGGGTGGTGCTGCTACTTAACTGATCTAGACAAAACAGAAAGCGAGAGGGAGAGGAGGGGGAGAGAGAGAAAGAGTGGGTGCATTTAAAGTCCCTTTAGAGCACAGGAAAAAAGTGTTGCTGTGAGCGAGAGAGTGACTCCCACAAACATCAGGAAATCACTTTGAACCGACAAATACAGTCCGAAGAGAGACATGTCTGAGCCTGTTCAGGAATATTTGAGGATAATATTTGATACTCATGAAGACTAGACTATATGAGAGCAGTAAGTCATATATTTAGTGTTGTCACGATATGAAAATATCAAATATGTTTTCAATACTAGAGACCCAAAACACCTAGGCAGCAGAATGTCATTTTCAGAAATTTCACAAGATGAGACGAGACATGAGATCAAATATTACATTATTTACAATAATCAGATGAATTCACAATTTTGGTCTCATGATTTTTAATTGGTGTAATTTCTTTATATATTGTGAATGGGTTTTATGTGTTGGTAGAGTTATAAAAATGACTAAAATTAAAACATTTTCATTTTGATGTATTTTACAACCTTTAAACACCAGTTCCCCATGCAACACTACTGATTATTATTATTATATTCTCAATATAGGCCTACAGTATGTTATTAAACTTAATTTTTATCATTTAAATGATTAGACAAAACTGTATCTGCTCTTCTGTTCTGTGTCACTCCAGCTCCTCTCCGCTCTGCTGCTCTAACGCACACGGTGCAGAAGGACACAGACAGAGCAGAGGTGCTTCTCTCTTCTTTCTCACTTTAAACTAAGTTATTATGGAAGAAAAAGACCTGAATATCTCTTTGTGGGTCGTTTTCAAATAATTTTTAAATGTGACAAGCACTGCTGTCTGCAGGTGAATTAGATGCATGTATATTTGATTATAAGATCAAATAGATTGTGAAATAGTTTTCTTTTCTTCTATCTTTTTTAACCAACATTAGCACTAATTATTTGCATCAATATTGGTCCTATCACTATGAAATAAACTGGGACAGAATTTAAAGTGTCCTCTGTCTGAATATGTGTGCTCTATGTGGAGGAATCTTTTAGCTACAGCTGCTCAAAGATATGCAACTTTCCAGAGCTTGAGCAAGGCACGTCATATCTTAAATCTCACGAGATAGATTTTTTGATTTACAACACCTTTGACAACCTTTCCATATAGGACTTTTCTAGTCATTTGTACAAGTATTTCCTGAATAGTTTTAGATTGGTCTAGATTTATATCAGAACTAGTGTAAGAAACTACTACTATTCTATATAACAATAAAATGATTGTTTAGTGGTATTGAAATCTGTGCTGAAACCAAATCTTAGTCTTGGCATCCAAATCAGGTTTAAAATCTTAGTATAGTGACAAGACAAGCACTCACACATCCATAGATCAGTGTCATAGCTGCAAGACTAAACTCAATCAAATCAAAATTGCATTAATTTACAATTGCACTATTTTCTGATCTATAATGTTGTTTCCTCATCAAAAACATACCTGGAGTAGTGTTTTGTTTCATTAACACATTTTCAACATTCAAACCCTGCATATTAATGATGAGTTCTTTTCTTAAAAAAACAAACAAAAAAAACACTATTTGACCTCACAGTGTATAGGAATAGAGCTTTGGAGATGCAGACATACTAATAATCCAGGATTACTCAAACAAAACAAAACACAACTCCAGGTATGTTTCTGAGGAGGTAATAGCACTATAACATGACTTAAAGCTTACAAGAATCACTTTTACATAATATAGAACGTTTAAGAAATGTACACAACAAAATATGTCTTATTAAGTTAAATATGACAGATATTTAATAAATTATTAAGTATAAAACCTACAGTACAAACAAGTTCTGAAATACTTGGCATTCTATTATTACTTATTGCAGTTCATATTTCAGTTTTCTCTGGGTGTGTGTATAAAATATGCAGACTTCTATTATGAAAACATAAATCATGGAAAGAAAATCCATCCTCAGAGGCAATATGGGAAACAATAAAAACAATTTTTATTTTATCACTTTTAATTAACAGCTTTTTAAAGAGGAAACCAATCTTATCTTCACTTACTTCACTACATAGACCAGGACAGAGACCAATGACGAAAAGGAGGAGCAGGTGGGGGAAAGTATTCATTCATTATTGTTGTCAGATTGTCAATAGGACAGGTCTGAATTCAATGTAATGAGGTCAAATTGAAATGGCCCACCACACTGCACAAGTCAACCAAAACAAGAGGCTCATATGCTCTGCTGTGGCAAATATATGTATCCATTCTGTATATATATATATATATATATATATATATATATATATATATATATATATATATATATATATATATATATATATATATATATATATATATATATATATATACATATATACACACACACACACACACACATATATAGAAAGAGAGCAAAATATAAAACGGATACAAAATCAATAGAATCATTCTTTTGTGGTGTAAATGCAATGGTTACATGATATAATTATTGATGTGAGGCCAATCCTTCTGTTATCCATTTTCTATGAAAATCTCACTTTAGTCACAAACATTATATCTAATGTAACACTGGCTGAACAACGTATCAACAAATTTAATACACTGGTTTCCTTTGCTCCCTGTGCAAAGTCAATCCCCCTTCACAGCGCTATCACATTACAACTGGTATGTGTTCTGCTAATGAAACTACTGCACATCACATCAGGTTTGTGATGCTGTAGTGTATTGTTTTGTATCATGCTTTTGTATATTTATGGAAAATGGTTGTGCGGAAGCAAAGGTGACATAGGCTTGTGGGTTGAACCTTGAATAGGATTGTACTGTTAACTGTGAGGAGGGTTCAAATCGGGGCCAGGAGAGATCGCTAGATTACTCAAACGTGCATGGAAGATTTATAAAAGCTCTTCAGGCTGTTTTTGAGGGAATAATATTATAAGATGGAAGCTCCAAAAAGTACATTTTACAAAATAACCTCTATTTAAGAAATAGATTGGGGTACATATTTACAGGTTTCAGCTTCCAGTTATATGTGACATTTTTCAAAAGATATAATATTTTAGTTTTAAATTTCTATGGCAACAGTCAAAATATGTCATCATTCTGAAACCCATATACAAAAAGTGAATACATCTAAATTACAGTAATTAAAACAATCTCAAGTTGTAAGTGATTTTAACACATGTGCTGCTGCAGAGAGATTATTTCTGCAAAAGAGCTTTAAAATATACAACGACAGAAACAAACGTTACAGCTTGTGTGGTCACAGTGGTTTGAAGGGACTGCCCCTGACAAAACAAGGAAGACTTTTGAAATGTCAGACCGCACCTCAAGAGCACATAGACTGTGGGGGATATTACAATGTGATGATTCGTAAGTGTGCCTCTCCAGCACACTCACGGCTAATTGCTTCACTAAAAATACTTCAGTGTGAACAAGAGAGTGATCTGCTATTGACAGGAACACAAATACATGTTTTTGTCTTGTCCAAAACAATTAGGCAGGTAGAGAAGAAGCTGTTATAGTGTTTGGACTGGTGGCAATTAGTTATGATAAAGTTTATTTCTATAATGGATGTAATATCAGGAAGTAGTATCTTTTCAATAAGCCATTTCCATCCAATATCAACATAATCATGATAAAGATGACTCATAATGACTGCTATTTTTTATGTTGAGTATGCAAAAAATTTACATTGAAGATAAGTAATGTTAACTATATAATAATACAACTATTTTATGCATTACTCTGCTAGTTCATAGCCAGAAGTAGGTAGAAGAGGTTTTGTATTGAAAACTTATAAATTAAAGAAAAAAAAAATCATCATGACAAACACTTTTCCCCCACACTACATTCATAGATGGATGAGGTATCTCACCCAAGGATAGAACATCAGCATTCTTAACCCCTGAGCTACTGTAATCTTCAAGATAAAACACAGAAGTGCAAAATGTCATGTCATGTTATGACATTTGATTTTGAATGATACACTGCAAGTTTATTTTCTTTTTACTAGGCCTTTTTGTGCCTCTTTAGTATTAAAGTTTCAGTACAGACAGCATACTTCATATATTTTGCATATCTTTTGCAACTATTTTGAGACAGTTTATCACCTACTTCCAGATAATATAACCATAATGTTTCTTTATGTGTCCTGCATTTACATTATGCTATGAAGGAAAGGTTGTATTACCTAGGGAAATTTGTCCTCTGCATTTCACTTATTCTTCAATACACACACAGGTTAAACCTGTCTGAGCAGCGGGTGGGCGCAGATCGGCGTCTGGGGACCCTTCTTTAGATCTTGTGCAATAGGTTCACGGTCAGAAGGACTTACCTGCAGGATTAGCCGAGTGTGCATGTTTTGCGCTTGGTTAAGTTGAGAGAAACACAGGAAGCCTACATAGACAAGAGAAGGTGCAATCTTGCTAAGTCGTTGTCCTGCACATTGTGATTGGGCACTTTGACAAGTGCTTTTTGATACTTTGCAGTGACATCAAGCTGGGGGTGTTCTAAATCTATCTCTATGGTCTAATGTTCAGCAGTTACCA